TATTTAATGAATTTTATTCGTCACATCCTTATAACGACATGTTACGTGTACCTACGGCGTACGTGACCCAATTTTTAGACGCTTAAGCTTCAATGCTCCTGTTTATGTTAAAGATAGATATTTGTACTCCAAGATGTGCGCGTGCAAAATGAAATGAACTGACCTTGAGAGCGAATGAGACCCCCCGGGAAGCATCAAAGGGAAATACCGCGCCTAAACAAGGAATGGGAATGCCACTTGCCTTTTTGCTGCAGTATTTTATTTAAATCCTTTTTTACTATAATACTAGAAAAAGTAAATAGATTCCTGTTTCGCTTATATTTTGTTAAACATGCATAACTAAGTTCAGACTCTAACGGCTCCACTCGAAGCTGTCAATTAACTTTTAAGTATGGCTATCTATCACTTTCTTAGTTTCTATTCAAAATATTCTTTGGTGTTTTTTTTTTCACGAAATTCGATGAAACCTTTCCTTCTTATGTCCCAAACACCAATGATATACATACTATCATTATCGAATCAAAATAACAGTTTTATTTATATTATTGATAACTTACTAAAAAGTGTAAATACACATATTAAATACAAGAACAAAATTGTAGATCTTTAGTTATATATATATAACATATACATAATAATATATTATTATTACGTTCTCTACATGACTAAAACCTCTACAATATTACCATTGGGTTTACCATTTCGATAGTTGTATTTTTCGCGAAAATCGCGAATAACTTATTTTGCCCCCTAAGACCGGACGCGAGCATAAGAGACATTTGAGAAATAGGTATTTGAAAAAACTTTTGCTGTCCTGTATTGACAAATACCGTGCGATAGGGACAACAGTATCTAACGCTGAAAACTGCGTAAAAAAATTGCAGAATACGAGTTTTGGCTCTCGACGATTTCTTCTTCCAAAATTAGATATATGCAGGATATACTAGGCCTCTATATTTTGTTTTTTGGTAAATGCTTATTGAATCTCCACGCTAACCGTCTTTAGTAGTAATAAAAATTTGTTTAATTTTGCCATTTTTGAGGACTTTTTTCTTTGAAAAAAAGAGGTTATCTAAAAAATGATGGCATAGGAGCATAGAATGAGTTAAATTATATTTAAAAAATATAAGTTTGGGAACCCATGAGTATTTACTCATGTTCAGCACGGATGTTCAGATGATCATTTGATAATCTCTCAGAAAAAAAAGTTTCTTCTATGGGAAGGTTTTTAATTTATTGACATTATTACTGCCGTCCTCAAACTAAAGTGCGGCTGAGTGACATGTGGTCTATTTTTCAGCCCTAAATTGCATCTTATATAGTTTTTAATCCTCTTTCGATCTGTCTTTAACAAGTATTTACAGTAGAACGCCCATTATCCGAATTAATTGGGACCGGGGTCGCTTCGGAAAATCGAAAATTCGGATAATCGGACATAGACTGGTAATAAAGAAAAACGAACCGTCACACATTGAATAAACCTTATAAGTTTAACAAACACAGTTCTACAATACTAAATACAATAAGAGAGGTACATAGCAACAAAAAAAAAACCGCGCGCCTCTAGCTTTCAGCCATAACAGTTGAAATATATCTAGACTCCAGCGAGTTCCAACTTGTTACAACAAAACAAAACAAAAATAACTTGGTTTTAATGTTATATATTACGCTTACGACTGATTCGGATAATTGGCGATTCGGTTAATCGGCGTTCGGATAATCGGCGTTCTACTGTACTTGTATCTTGTACAGTTTAAGTCTAAAAATCCGTCAGGTGTTGAATGGTTACAAAATAGCAATAATTTTAAGTTTACGAGTCGTTTTTTGGTCATATCTCAAAAGTTAGTTGTGTCATTTAGCCGCGTTTTAGCTTGAGGACGGCAGATTAGAGCGACACTTTTTGTTAATAAATTGCGGACCCAATAGAAACACATGTTCTATGAAATTTTCAACAATTTTATTTAGAATCCACCAACAGGCTATCTATAGCATAGTGTTCTGTAAGCAAAAGCACCGCTATTGTCAGCACCTTTAAAGGACAGTGAATAGGGTAGATGATTTTTTAAAGTTTCTTCTCAATCACTGCAATACATTTCACATAGAATTATCAGCCTGGCCGATTAAAAAACAATTCTTCCTCAGTTTTAACTAGGTACTTACTATAGAAAGTTGCATTTGGTTCCCGGTAGTATATTACCTGTTACAAACACAGTCAAGTTCATGGTCGCACCGCCCGTGCGCAAGAAGCCCTGCAGCCACGCGACTCCGATCCAATTAGAAACGTATATTGTGAGATTACTATACTATACTGCGCAGCTAGCCGTGTGTCCGTGATTTCTTACTAAACACTATGCATTTATGCACGTGAAGGGCACGTGAATGCAATACCGCGTTAATGGTGAAACCCAAGAGCAAGGCATGGCCATTAATACTAAAACAAACTAACATCTTTTCATGCTTCCATTCCAATTCCAAAGCACAGCAAACCAGAAGCAGAGTTTGGGCCCGGCTTTTCTGACCCGAATTAAAACTCTCGCCAAAATGTCGGTGCCTTTCAGAAGATTAAAGTGAAGCAACACGATTGCATCAGCAGACCCGTCTTTCCCAGTGGGCACTGTGGGCAAGTGCCCAGGGCCTCGCCATCGACAGGGGGCCCCCTCAGATCAAATACAAAGTCCCTAGTTCCTGTTAAATCACCAAACGGAAGTCATAGGGGCCCCATTATCTTAATATGCCCAGGGCCTCCAATCTCCTCCAGGTCATAGACGGCACTGTGCATCAGCCAATAATTTCAAATATTTCGATGGATTTTCTTTAACTTAGATTAAATCAAAAAAAAAAGATACGGCACTCGCGGCTCTACAGTGATCCGCTTAAATTGTGGTGCATGACCACAATTCGCTTTAGTCGCAATTGGACAGTCACAATTCTACTGCCGTCCGTATCTTCCCTTTTTGTTTTAATCTAAGGCTTACATTAAGGCGATCAAACTTAAACGGTCTCCCTGGGAGGGTAGGATTTTTACTACCTTGATTTATCAACAAAGGTAGTAAAAACCCTAACCTCGACGTCGAATTGTGTCACTGGAAGCCACAAAGAATAACGCGATGTAAAATGTGGATGGTTGATGATCCTTTTGAAAAAGAAGGAATACCATGTTTCTGAAACCTAAGGGTATCTAACAAGAGAAATACCTATAATGATTCACTCATTATGTCGTTATCTCTATAATATTGAGCAGGCTAGACTCAGAAACTTTGACTGTTTTCGAATGAATTAAAGTTAATAGGTATGGGTGCCCAATAGGGCATGCAACCGGTTAACCGGATAAGCAATAGATTTTCGAACTCGGTTTTTTCCAGTCATAACCGGGTTTTTCACTTTTTTACTTAACTTGACCCAGAAACATTCTTCTTTACAAATCCATGAACAAAAAATTAATATACCTATATAAAACAAAATTATGACTATCATGTAAATACCTTATTTGTAAAATGGAAAGCCTTTTACGTTCGATCGTCGTTCAAGTCCCGCAGCCATTTTGTTTTGTCAGTCAGTCTCTCTCAAGTCTCTCTCAAGTCACGTTTATAGGTGATAAAATAGTGTACTTAAAGGGTGACCAATCTGATCCTGCAAATTACAGGCCTGTAAGCGATCACATCTCTGCTCCCTAAGGTGATGAAGCGACTGAGTAACATCCGCCATTTGAGATCCCTTGAGGAGCATTAGCTAATTAGCTGCCGACACTAAGGTTTCCGCCACGATTTCTCTCACTCACAGTTGGGCTAAAGCCGTCGATAGCAAAGATGAAGCCCTTGCAGTGAGCCTGGATACCTGGTTTGACAGGGTCTTTCATAGAGCACTTTTATTGAAGTTACCAGCTTACAGGCTACCTTAGGGGCTTTGCAAGTGGATATCCAACTTCTTAGAGAGCAGGAGTTTTAATGTCGTTATCGATGACCTGCTCGTAGTACCCCCTGCTGAATAACGGACGAGGTTAAGGCGACCGATAAACGGCGGTATAATCGTTTTTCAAATGTCCGGACTGGGTAAAACGACGGATCGATGTTGAGCAGCAGCAACACTGGTGCGCTCAGTGGATCAGCGTGACGATGAATTGGGCATAAACTTGTTTTTTTTTAAACACACCAATTTGCCTAGCCCCAAAGTAAGCTGATTTCTGGCTGCATCTCTACTCCCTAAGGTGATGCAGTGGGTGATCAACACCCGCCTATTGAGATACCTTGAGGAGCAACAGCTAATTAGCTGGTGATCTTCTCGTTTATCACACTCACCGTTAGGCTAAAACCGTCGATAGCAACTTAGCCCAGTGCGGATTGAGCCCAGTACAGTTTGGACCCAGTGAGAATGGGGTTCAATGCGGATTGGGTTCAGTGCCCTCCCCTATGTCATTATTACCCAAGGGCACATCCTTACAACTTAAGCACCTTTTGGCTTTAATTTACAGACATGTCTTCGAGTCTCGATTTATTCCGTGCGACTGGTGTGCGCAACGTTATTAAGGTATTTAATATCGTTGGGTGTGCGACTGAATAATGCGCGATTGTGTGTATACGCGCGGGATCATCAGCACGCATCTCTTTGATGTACGTACCAGCTCCCGTATCTACCTGGTAAACTAACTCCCCGACCTACCCCTCACCCCCGCATAACCGCGGGATCCTTGAAGAGTAAACAGGAACCTTTTTACCTTTTATTATAATACATAGTTTTTTACTAGGTCATCGATGTTTTATTTTTTACCAAATGACTTGCTTTTATTATATAACTAGTGTACGAAAAATTACACCATTAAAATTATATTTAAAGTCATAAAGTAAGCAAGATTGAATAACAAAAGTTTTGCGTCACAGAGGTAATAGTATACATTCTAATGTAAAGAAATATATATAACCTAAGACTAGGCTGTATGGGCATTATTCCCTTTGCCTTCCCTAAAAAGGGTGTCTTAAAAAATAATTTGACATTGATAGATCACATCAAATTAAATGAATGCCAAACAATTCGTAGGTACTGTATTTGCAATGTAAATACGAAACGTTTTTTTTAAATCCAACCAGATTATTATTGAAAAAGTAATCTTGTCCATTATCACTTTTGTAGTGTTTAGGTAACAAACAATTTTAGATGACACTTGGGCGCAAATACCAGCAATCTTCCGGGTAAATGGCTTCATTGGCGTGCACGATCGAATCATTAACCATGCATGTCGGGTCTCGGTCGTGTTAAAATATAGCAGGATTGATTTTTACCTATTTATAGGAATGCTGGGGATGCTCGAAAGGTGTATTCTAACCAGTCGAAGGCTGGTAGCTTGTCTGGGTGCTCGTCATCCGTAAGTTTCATAAAACTAAATTCCATCATTATTCAAGTCAGGTACAATTTATGATTCATCCTAGCACAGTTCAGTTACTGTTTATTTGCACGTTAGTATGATATAATATACATATTAATGTTTTTCATCAAATAGTCAAAGGCAGAATCATATTCAATGTCCAGATGATTTCTGTTAGTGAGAAAACAATTCTGTTTTGAAATTTGCATTAGTCTAACTTCTATAAAGTTTTGTATTTATAATTATTCTACTAACATATCTACCTTTCGGAGAAATTTTATTAGTAACACTCCAAATAGACACTGTGTGAAGTTTAAAACAAACAAACAAACATTGTTACTTAAGATTCATGATTTTTTTTTCCATTTCTGATTAAGCTACTTGTATAAAATATTTTTAGTTATTGATTGGATGCAATGTTTCTAGTCTAAATAACTTTTAATTTGATTTCTTGATTTTTTGACTTAAATTCCACAATTTTTTAACAATTGACTATGTAAAAAAATTTGAGAAATTGAGACACATTTAATTTCTAATAAGTAAATGGTATGGTGCATGTGCATGCCAAACGGAACGTTTAGTTATAATCTCGTTACGTGGGACAAGTAAAAAAAAGTAATATAAAACACAGTCATACATGTATATTTTGGGTTATTACAATATACAATATGATAGAAAGGAAACTATTGTGTTAATTTTTTCTGTTTTACCATTTTTTTATTGGGACAACTCAAATTCATGAATATGTTTGATTAAATCATTCATATAATATGGATAAATTATTTATAACAATTAAGACAACCTCCATGGCCAAGTGGTTAGTACGCGCCAGGTTTCATGGTGTCGCTGAATCGAGAGGTCCCAGGTTTGAATCCCAGAGGGGCAGACCTTTGTGTGATTAATACGAGCATTTGTACTCTAGTCATGAATGTATAATATGTATTTCTATATAAATATACTAATTGTTTATGTACAGTATATGTATTATATCTGTTACCCTAGTATAAAATATATACAACAAGCCTTACAGTGCTTATTTTAAAGAAGAAACTTATTAACAATACACTTCAGAAAAACATTTAACCTATTTTCTTCAAGAAAACCTAATATTTGATCACAGAGCTTATGTGAATCTTATTACTTAGAATTAATTGAACATATAACTAACTTTTTATTTTTAAAATATGTCCAATATTTAATTAGATACATACTTTTTGTAAGAATCTGAATATAATACTTAATTAGCGACCTGCCTCTTGAATAAGTTGTTTATTGTTGAAATCTAATCTATTATTTTAATCCATTGTGTAGTTTAAAAGACAACTGTACAAAGAAGAGACTGCTATTAACATTCTATCAATAGTAAATACGAATAGCCATGTATTGTACCTGTATAAGAGTAGAAAGATGGTATTGGAAGTAGTCTGATCCACATTATTGCAGCTTATTGACAACTGATTGGTGTAACATAGTCTTTGTTTGCGCAAAGAGCTCTGCTTAGCTTGTGACAAAATGATTTGTGTGTACTAATACAAAATAAAATTCTAAGATTTGTTTATTCCACTGATTTGCAACTTGATTTTAGATATCACTGTGCGAGATGATCGAACCACCCGACTATGAGGAGGTGTGCGACCGGCTCATGGGCGAGCGCGACCCGCTGGCGTACCCGCCCGCCGACATCGAGCTGTGCACTGTGCCCCGCCGCATACGGACGCTCACGCATGTACTGCCTGATGAGGACCTGTGAGTAATGATCGACCGCCCCAATATAAGGATGTAGGACCGACTTATGATCGAGCGCGACCCGCTGGCGTACCCGCCTGCCGACATCGAGCTGTGCACTGTGCCCCGCCGCATACGGACGCTCACGCATGTACTGCCTGATGAGGACCTGTGAGTAATGATCGACCGCCCCAATATAAGGATGTAGGACCGACTTATGATCGAGCGCGACCCGCTGGCGTACCCGCCTGCCGACATCGAGCTGTGCACTGTGCCCCGCCGCATACGGACGCTCACGCATGTACTGCCTGATGAGGACCTGTGAGTAATGATCGACCGCCCCAATATAAGGATGTAGGACCGACTTATGATCGAGCGCGACCCGCTGGCGTACCCGCCCGCCGACATCGAGCTGTGCACTGTGCCCCGCCGCATACGGACGCTCACGCATGTACTGCCTGATGAGGACCTGTGAGTAATGATCGACCGCCCCAATATAAGGATGTAGGACCGACTTATGATCGAGCGCGACCCGCTGGCGTACCCGCCCGCCGACATCGAGCTGTGCACTGTGCCCCGCCGCATACGGACGCTCACGCATGTACTGCCTGATGAGGACCTGTGAGTAATGATCGACCGCCCCAATATAAGGATGTAGGACCGACTTATGATCGAGCGCGACCCGCTGGCGTACCCGCCCGCCGACATCGAGCTGTGCACTGTGCCCCGCCGCATACGGACGCTCACGCATGTACTGCCTGATGAGGACCTGTGAGTAATGATCGACCGCCCCACTTTGACGAGGTAGGATCGGCCCATAATCGAGCGCGACCCACTGGCGTACGCGGCCACCGACATCCGAGCTGTGCGCCGTGCCGTGCAGCATACGAACGCTGAAAAAGATGGAATCCCGAAGACCGGCTCTCGCAATACTCGAAAATAATTACCTAAACTTACTGCTTTTGATATTGAATATACTGCAAACGAAACTTCAATCAAACGCACATCTGGCACACGTTCTGCCTGACAATGATCTGAGATCTGTGAGTACTAAACATCTGAGAATTTTAAACAATACTACCACAAAATATGTAGATTTTAAGAGAAGCATAGCAGATTTTCTGATGGAGTTAGAGCGCCCGTCCCGGGTAAGTAACATCCACCTTGCGAAAGTGTGAAATAACACTACCTATTTATTGGTGGTGTTGTGTTACTATCAACGACTAAAGTTCCTGGTCTTGAACTAGGCAACTCGCCTCGTCTCGCTATTGATTTTGACAACACTATATCGTGAATAAATTTAGCGTGAAGCTGAGCTGACTGCTATTGTTTGGGCGCGTAGGTTACATACTTTTTAAAACCTGTGAAGCCTTTCTCGTAGTAAAAATTTTAAGTCCCATTTTCGACTACTAAGGAAGAGATTGTTTAACCAGGTCCAAAGCCCCGATGTTCGTCCGCGACTGCATCGTGTGTTACACATCGGACTACACCGTCGTGGAGTACAAACATCGCACCTACTCGGGCTCATCGTGCGGTCGGGATCGGCTAAGCGAGCGGCTCGAGCGGTTGCAAGCCGGGCCAAGACATTATTTTGAGATCGACGCCGACCCACTGGTAGAATCCACTGAAGAGTTGACCTCCCAACAGGTAAGTGCAGTGTTGTTGAGTGAGTCCAATATAGTACTCATATTATACTCATAAAGAACGACTCTGCAGTTACAAGCAGGATTGAGATTTTTACGAGATCGACGCCGATCCACTAGTATAATCCATTGAAGAGCTGACCTCACAACAGGTTGGTGCAGTAGGTATTGTTGAGTGTGAGCCCTATAATGTCCTCTCCAGCCTCTATCTCGTCGTACGACTAAGAGTGGTTCAGCTAGCGGTTACAAACGGGGCCGAGACATTACGAGATCGACGCCGACCCAATTGTGGAATCCATTGACGAGCTGATCTCCCAACGGTACCCTTAGCACGAAACAATATCGAATTCGTATCGTTTGCGAGTCCGAAATGTCATTGTCAAATGTGTACTGATTTTTAGTTCTCGTTACGTACTTTGTGCCGCTGCTGTTCAAGTTTCCATACAAAAGGAGATTGGTCAAATTGGCCTAAATGCAAATAAAATATTGACATATACAGTAATTCTTGGCGTAATTTATACTTTATTTTACAGTCATTAGATTTTAACGGCCACCTTTAAATAATATATTAATTTTAAAAAAGGACTTCTATTTTTACCGGTTTGGAAAACATACGAATCATTTTTATTGGCTATGGGTGTAGTAACATTCACAAAGACTGATCGAGGTTGTTTATATAACATCAAAACAAATCTATTTTGTAAAGATTGATAAAATATTTCGATGATATTTTAATTCAAAATGTAGATGATATGTAATATTAAACGCAACATAAAAGTACTTAAGTTGTTTTATTTCATTAATTTACCTTATCAGAATATTTAAGCTATGTCAGGAATATACATATTTCACATATTGATCAGAACTATCATAAACCTACGCAATATATTATTACATTAGAATTACCTTTTACCATTATAAACCTAATTATTACTAAGAAAATATCCTATTGGTTTTTATAAAATTATGATAACAGTTCCATGTTCCTCATAACATAGGTAAGCAGGTACCAGTTCCTTGACATGCATTTTGTTAGTGTAATTAGTGTTAGACACTTGTCAAATGAAACAAGATTGCTTCTGAAAGTCGCAATGGCATAATCATGATTTTAAAACTTACTCTTGTGCATTAATTTTAAAAACAGGCAATTATCTGTTATTTTACATGCTCTATATACCTGAATCTAATACATAATATCGGTACTTGGCTTGATTGCCCTATTTTCCTATATAAGTTATTTGGTTTTTATTATTCTAATACCTATGTGCCTATTTGCAAACATAACCTCAAAATCATTCAGTGTATATGGTTTATAGAAGTTCTCAGGAGTGGCCGTCGATAATATTCGTTTCTACGGTAATTTATATATAATTTCGAATCTAGGAAACAATTTTTCATGGTTATTGGTTTTTAGGCCAAACATGTATGGAAGCTGAGCAATCTCCTTTGACATTGACTTTTCAGTTTGCAAACTATTCGAATTCGATAATGGTTCGTGCTAGGGGTACAGATAGGAGCAGTATCGTTGAATGTGCCCTATATAGTACTCCCATCTCGATGTGCAGCCAGAAGTAGCGTAGTAGTTAGTAGCAGAGTAACGTAAGTCGGAAGTTTTTAATAAAAATCTGATAATGTAATGCGGCTTGCTAAAGATGAACGTAAATATTTTTAGCGATGTAAAATATTTATATGCGTTATGAAGATGCGCCGAGTGTCGTCAAGCCCATATCCCATGTCCATGATTTGATCACACTATGATTATATCCGCTAGTTGGAGTCTCAGCCTTCTAGCGGTCGTCAGTCCGTGGCGTCCATATCTTCATCTTCGTCGTGCAACGAGACGCTGACTCCGCGAGGATCGTGGGCCAGTCTGGACCTGCGCAGCTCCTCCTCGGACCCGCTGCTACCGGACTTGTTCGATAAGAAACCGCCGGATCAGCTCGACGCCGCAAATGAGGCTAAAAGGTATAAATTACACGTAATAGACTGCAACTTTTACGAAATTTTCAATATTGTTTCATATGTCATAGCACAAAATTATAAGTAAACAGTAGGTCTGTACCCCTAGCACGAATCATTATCGAATTCGAATAGTTTGCAAACCGAAATGTCAATGTCAAATTTTGTATGGAAACTTGAACAGCAGCGGCACAAAGTACGTAACGACAACTAAAAATCAGTACACATTTGACAATGACATTTCGGACTCGCAAACGATACGAATTCGATGTTGGTTCGTGCTAGGGGTACTGCTCCCGTCATCCTCGATAATAATAAATTACCTAAACTCAGTGATGAATTCTGCTTGAAACTGTGTGAGAATGCTTGTAAATGTAACGTCAATGTGTGCGTGACAGATATGACCCATGGTTCTGAGCCGATTCTGATCCGTTCAGTAGGCCTATTCGCTGCTTTTGACAGATTAAAGTACTAATCAAACTAACCAAAGCTATTGAGTGATCCATTACTGCTTTACTATAACGCCACTAAGATACTTGTTCTGAAAAGCATCTAAGAATATGTAATTTACTCTTTAATGGCACACTGTAAATGTCAAAAAGGTTAGTGAATACGCCGGCTGCTCTGAGTGGTTCATGTGAGTCCGCGCGTGGTCAGCTTGACAGCGAAGCGATCCAGAGTTGATCTAGTGAGCACAATAATAGGGATGAGGACTACCTTTTTTTCTTCGTATATAAGGTAGATTATAAAAAAATATTGGACGGACACGTATTTTTTTTATTCACATAATCAAAACATTCCAGAAATGTATTGATTAGAAATTACTCATGACGTCACGTCGTGGTACAATGTTAACTTAGAAGTGACGTCACGAGTCTGCACTCCCAAGCTTTGATGCGCTTTATCTTTGATAATTATTTGGTTGCTTGACAAAAGAAAAAATTGGTGTAAATTATATTTTGGATAATGACGGACTAAATAGAACTTCGTTTACTCCGTCATCATCCATATTATGTGCATACAAGTCTATTTAAAATTATATTTAGCCGCGTGAGGTGAGGCGATGCTGATTGGGTGCGCAAGGAGGGGGGGGGGGCTCCTGAACTTTAAAGGTCAATCTTATCACCAAATTTAGATCTACATATTTCGACCTGAGAACATTTATTAACTTTATTAAAGTATTCATAGCGATTTGATATCCTTCTATTTACTCGTAATGCATTTACAATTTAGTTCTATCGATTGTGGATAGAATATCATACTTATATTAGGACTTTAGCCCATATTCTGGTACATGAAAGACATTACTCGAATTCGGCCACCCGAAGGAATATTTATACTGCAATACGGGCTGGAAGACGGTGCCTACACCGTCTCGAATAATCGGGAAAAAATCGGGATTTTTTCCCGATTCTCATTGTCGCTCGTATTCGGGCTAACGACCAAATGTAATCGAGCCATAATACAACTGCAATGTATCTATATATATAAAACTCAAAGGTGACTGACTGACATAGTGATCTATCAACGCACAGCTCAAACCACTGGACGGATCTAGCTGAAATTTGGCATGCAGGTAGATGTTATGACGTAGGCATCCGCTAAGAAATGATTTTGATCAATTTTACCCCCAAGGGGATAAAATATGGAATGAAAGTTTGTATTAAACTTTGTCAATTTTAAACCGATCGGGCTGAGACTTTGCATGCAGGTATAAGAAGAATCATAGATGAATATCATTGTGTATAATACAAGCCTGAGAACAAAAACTGTAGTCTTCAGCTCTACACCGAAGCGAAGCGAGGGCGGGCCACTAGTATGTAATAAACTGTTCGATTTCTAAAGAAAATTTCACTAGAAAAAATTCCACGCAGTCCAGGCAGCAGACGGGACCCAATCCTTCCGCTATCCGGGCAGCTGCACTGACCAACTGTGAATTTCTTCTAGTATTTCTTAGGCTGCAAGGCAGTGCCATCTCTTCGCATTGTAGGTCAATCTGTAACCCACAATGTCAAACGAATGTCTTTTACTTTCTATGAACAGAATGGAGAACCGTCAGTCGGACCTCCTCGGTCTGTATATGCCGTACTTGGACGAAGACGAGGCGGTGGAGCGCCGCTTGGCAGCAGACATGCCCTGCGAACAAATGGGCCACCGGATACTGGTCGTATGCCACCAGCTCAAGTGAGAATTTTTTCGTCTTTTTCTTTTATAACCAGGTAGGCAAATGATGAATCTGTTTACAGTATTACTTTTCCAAAATTACATTATTCTCGTGAAAACTGACACTGCAACAGACTCTTGCAGACTAGTTCCGCATACATTAGTTAAAGCGACAACAATTTATTTTACGCCAAAACTCAATTATTACATAAAAAAAATATATTAAATTGCATTAGTACATTTGATTAAAAAAATTCAATTATAAAATTACAAATTAAGCAATAAATTATGTAAGAATCACCTCTTTATCTTAACTCTTGTAAGTGGTTTGACTCAATATTCAGAGTCCGAAGCAAGAAATTTAAACAGCTGCGGAATTGTAGCGCATCGTCAAAGTTTTTATGAAAACTACGCAGCGCCCCTACCGGGCGTAAGAACAAAACTTAACGATGACGATACGATTACAGATCTGTCAAAGTTTGTGCATGGACCTCTGAAAGGAAAAGCAAAGGAAATTAAGTTTCTCTTTACATAGTATAAAATATAGCAGCTCCCGCTTTGATCTTTTAAACTACGCAACTGGTTTTAATGCAGTTTTCAGCAATAGATAGATTGTCCTTATGGGAAGGTTTATATTTAGAATACGTGCTCCTTGACAAAAACTATAGTCTTCACCGAAGCGAAGCGAAGGCGGATCACTAGTATATTATAAAAGTTTTTTTGAAGTTATACTTCTTTAGGCGCGTTATGAAAAAATGATGAGAGTGAAATTTTAAGATGCGCGCGCATCACTGTAACACTAAATTTTAACAGCATGAAGTTGGTCGCTTTAGCGACCAACTTCATGCGTTACTTTTGTGTTTACCGCACATTAAGAAAATCTACCAACAAAATAGAAATAGAATCTCTATTTAGTGGGTGCTAACGACTGCATTGTGAAGGCCTATCAAAAGTATTTATTAATCTGGAACAACGGAACCAAAGCGCGATTCAGGAGACTACAGCGCCATCTCTTGACCATTGGTGTAGTAGAACCAAAAACCACATCTTTATTTTTTGTAATAAAGTAACAGTTATAGGTATTCATATTTATAATATTTATCCACATGTTTCTAGTTTGTATATTCGGAATACGTGTTTGAGTTTCATACAAGTGCAAATCACATATGTTCTAATAAATTATATTCAGTAGCGATTTTAATTGAATATTTTGATTATTTATTTATTTTTTCAAATTAAAACTGAACTTTATTGACTGTGTCCTTTTCCAGACTTTTTATTAATTTATTGTAATTAATTATTTGCATGCAATTAAAAACTAATTTTAAACGATGCCAAAGAAGGATAATATCGAGACCAAAATATCGATATTTATATCGATATTTAAAATTCACTGATATCGATAATATCGATATCGGAAATTCCAAAATATCGATATTTCGTAGACTAAATTTGAACACAATAATATCAATTAATTTACCTGCTATGACTATCTAAATTGAATAATTTCGAAATAACTATTACTTTGAAATCGCAAGAGCTTATAGATGTATAAAAAAATCTTGAACCCCATGAAATATACTAAACTGGTGTGGATTCTGGCATGATTCTCTAAACCTAAAATTTGACAACAGTGTATCCTTGTCATTATCTATACAGAATAAAAAGGAGAGACTGGTGTTAAATTAGTTTTAAGGTTAGATAATCATGCCAAAATCGACACCAACGTATATGGGTATAATCGTATACCTAATGGTAACTCATGCACTTAAATAAAATCCTTGCCTCTCTTTCTAGATAATTGTCAACTACTGATTAATTGAAATTTAATATCATTGTAATATAACACAAAGCAAAATTAAGAATCTTATACAAATCGTAATTTTTTTAAGCTCGCCAAGTCAAGCAAGTAAGATAGGTATAGTAATTTTGGAAGCTTTGGGCTTACCCTATTCTGAAGCCATGGGCACGCCCCTGATGTGTGGGAGACTAAGCAATTTGCGTATTTTATGTGCGCTAAAAAACTGACATAGCTTGGGAAAGCACGAATGTAGTGGAAACTTAAAGAATGTAGCGAAGGCATTGGCAAATGTCGTCCCACATATGCGGGTTGGCGCATTCGTGCTAACGAATGTGAGTGATCTGATCAGGATAATAATTTTAATTTTTTGGTTTCCTGTCGTGGCTGAAACACAAACCGTGCGAGCCAAAAAAAAAATCCTGCTTGGCGCGATTTCATCAAGCGTGTTTAACGAAAAAGCTGGCTCAATCCATTTAGCGAGAAACTCGCCAACAAACATATGAATGTGTCACACTCATCCCGTATTCTAATGTCAATACAAAATAAAAAGGAAAAAATGTCGATATATCGATAATATCGAGTTAAAATGGTCGATATATCGGATATCGATATTTTGCTGACTTCGATATAAATATCGATATTTCAAAAGACTTTGCATCCCTACTTACACTTTTCCTGGTTAAAAAGTATCCTATGGCTCAAAGCAGGTCATAAAGTATATGGGTACCAGATTTCATCCAAATCAATTCAGTGGTTTTTGTGTGATTTAGTAACAAACATACTAACAAATTTTTTACATTTATAATATTAGTAGAAAGTGCAAGATGCAAGTGCCCCAATGTTAAGAAATATATATGTGTATATATATATATATATATTGTTTTAAACTTTCATGGTCACTAACATTATAGCTATGATCGGGATTGTTACCATGTACATTGTTTTTTATAAGCTTCGATATTTCGGCACTGTTGCCGGAGTAACTGAAGTAATTGCGGGTGGATGTTGTTGGCAGACATATCGGTCAAAAAACACAGTACATTGTAACAATCCCTTTAATAGCTATAATATTAGAAATGTATTATGCCTTAAAGGACCTTGTCACAATTGATCACTTTCTACACAGATTGGAACTGGATGTGGAGCCGTTGTTCGCCTCGATGGCGTTATATGATGCCAAAGAGAAGAAGAAGTTATCAGAAAATTTCTACTTCAACCTGAACTCAGAATGCACTAAACAAATGCTATCAGCTCACATTCCCTACGCTGATCTCTCTACGCTAAGTAGAAGCGCCGTGTTCGATATACAGAATCCTTCTTCAGACGTGTTTTTGGTCGTGAGAGTTGAGAAAGTTCTCCAGGGAGATGTGAACGAATGCGTTGAACCGTATATCAAGGACGATAAGGTAGGTTTTGTAAAATTATTTGTGTGAAATCACCTTTAACATTCCATAATTTATAGAAAAAATTAGGTAAGTAAAAATGCGTTGAACAATTTACCTTTAAGATTCAATAAATTGTAGAAAAAATTATGTGTAGTTAAAAATGCGTTGAACAATTTAATTGAACAGTGAAGCAGCTATTACGATAGCTGTGTTTCACAATTTTGACAAAATGAAACTATAACTTCAGTTTTATGAACCACTTTCAATCGAAACGACTTTCAAAATGCATTTTGTTATTTTATGAATTGAAACAAACATTTCGGGCTACTTTTTTGCCTAACCAATCGCAACAATTCATTTTTAGCATTTTTCTCAAGAAGAGTGAAATATTATAAATAAATACATATAATTATAAATAATATATAAGTTAATTTAATTATAACACTTTTTAGAACCGTGAAAAGGTCCGTGCCAGTGCCCAAGCGGCTTGCACTAGGCTAGGGAAATACCGAATGCCTTTGGCATGGAGCGCTGTATCGCTGCTCAACATACTGAGCGGCTCAGGAAGCCTTGAGCGGGACAACGAGGGGAATACCCATCCCCACCCCGTTCCACATCCCCACTCCAACTCCAACACTAACAGCCTGGGTGAGTATTTACACCCACATGCAATAACTTACTTATAGACCAGGGTCATGAAATTAAATGAAATGAAAAGTTCATTCAGTCTAGGACGAAGCACTTGTGAAGGTCAAGAAGCTACGCCATCGGTTCGCAAAACTACGGCGAGAGACCTTGTACTGAGAATAACCGGCAAAAACTCAGCAAGGGCTGCTTTTTTCTCCTGTATTGATATATACAGAGTCGTCATGTTTGTCACGTATTTTTTCTTTGGGCAATCAACCAAAAAATGACAAAGTTATAGCGCGTCAAAGTTTGGGAGTAGGGGCTCGTGACGTCACTTTCGAGTGAATATTGTACTTGTTTAATTGTAAAACGTGACGTCATGCGAATTTTTCTGCAATGTTTATATTATGTCAAAAAAGGAAAAATCCGTGTCCAATACTTTTTGATAATCTACCTGATAAACGAAGAAAAATAAATAATCATCATCCCTATTTGCGTGCGTAATCCAATGCATACCAAATCGACCGTATCATCATCATCATCATCATCAGCCTTTTGATGCCCCCACTGTTGAGGCACCGGCCTTCCCTATGAATGGAATAGGGAGATTGGGCCATGGCACCACCACGCGGGCCCAATGCGGATTGGTGGGCGCTAACGACTGCAAATGCAGCTGGGACCAACGTGCCTTCCGAATACCGAAATTTTTGGACTCATCCAATGACCAACTACTGCGAAAGTTGCTCAACTTCAACGATCGCAACCGAACGTGCTTACCACTTGGCCATCGAGATTCTCATTAAACTGTATAAAGGATATTATAAATAGAGCTCATTCAACATTTCTGAAGTGAAACTTGTTTTTGGACAGTGTGTAAATGGAAAAATACTACTGAAAAGATGAAACGGAAGTAAGCCATGAGCGTCACACGGTTATAAATATATTTGTGTGTGTGTGTGCGTGCGTGCGTGCGTGCGTGCATGCGTGCGTATTTGTGTGAAGGTTGAAACGCTACAACCGTCTCCATTCCCCTATGCCGTATGCACCGCCTAATGTCAGGTTATTTAAGAAAAGAATTTTCACTTCAGATGTGTGGTCCGTGAGCCCTATTTTATTTTCAATTTTTAAAATAGATCGCAAGGCGTCGTCGTCCAGTTTGGAACAACTCCGTCGTCGGGCGGGGGAGGTGGGGGGGTCGCTGTCCCGCAAGGGCAGCGTGGAGAGGAGACACCCTCCCCCCGCCAGAGATCTCGCGCACCAACTCGACTGTCTCAAGCCCATCGCCATCACTGTCACCAGCTTCTTCAAGCAGGTATATTTCAAATTAGCGGTTCCAGGCATCCGGATAAAGCCGGACATAGACTTTTTGATTGTCCTGCTTTTATTATCACATTTCACGCGTCCTTTAAGAGAGGCGTGAAAAAGCATTTTTGCGGGCCGGCAAGGTGAGGATGGTTGGTGTGGCAGTTTATAACTGCTGTACCAGCTATCTTCACGTTTGGACTTTATAACCACTTATCATTAGGTGAGGTAGAGTCATTTGCCTACGTAGCTATAAAAAAGAAAAATCGCACACGAGCGTGGCCGAGCGCAAGCGAGTTGACTGTCAGTCGCTTTTACATATTTTTTTTATCGTACCTAATTCTTTTTTCTTGAAGTAACGCTTTGCCAAGTATTTTAGGTATCTCTTAGAGAAGGGAATGTCTGCACTGATAGCCACTTTTGTCTTATCCTGAGCAATGACAACGTGATTGACTAGGTTATTTGTTTTACCCTCAACTTTAACGTGTTCCTTCAAGTACTTCTCAAAGTTACCAACGTCCAAGATGCTGTCTTCAGCTGGATGTCTACAGTAAATCGCGTATTTGAGGCTGATTTTCTTTTTCTGGCCCTTGCCGCGGACTATACCACCTTTGATGACTTTCTTGCCAGTGTTCTGGCGACCTAGCAACCCTATTCCGAATGAGGGTGTTAATGAAAATGTGATGCTCACTCACTTTGCATGCTTTAAAGCTCAAACTAAGTCAAACGTGACTATGAAAACATACGCAATTTGACGAAGAAGTAGACCTTATGTCTCAACGCTGCCACTAGTCAATTATGTTATGGCAATCAGAAGTAATATTGCGTTAATAGGATATTTGAAAGTGTTAAAAATAAAGTGCCAATTATTAGCATCTGTGTTTAGAATGAATATCAACATGGGTTTTTACTATTGTTACAAAAAATATATTCATAATTCTACTAAAAACTAACGAAAAAGATAATAGTGTTCTTATCTCACGAGTAGATCAGATTAGATCACGTGACCCAAAACGCTTGGGATTGGCGGAGCCTAAAATGACGTCACACGCAAGTAAACTTCCGGTTAAAGTGACATTACATTGTATCGTTTGACGTTTTAATATCAGTCGTGTGGCGTCACACACTAGTAAGACGCCATATTGTCTAGAGAAACGTTTTCGCGGCAACTTGAAAATGGAGTTTTTGATTTGGTTATTTTTACTGAAATACACAACAGAATGATGCATATCCACTTTTTCTCACTCCATAAATATTAGTCAATAACGTGACATCGTTTTCTAAAAGTTGTCAAATACCCTATTGCTCGCCGGCCTCTATTAGATTAGGGCACTGTAGAAGAACCTTTCTGATGATTATGACGACTAATACTTTTACATCTTCCACAGGAAACCGACAAACTTCGCGACGAGGACCTCTACAAATTCTTAGCAGAGATCAAGCGGCCCAGCTCTGCTCCAAAGAAGCTCAAATGCATCCCGGGCACTTTGAAGATAGAAGTGTCTCCCTGCCCCGACGAGATCAAGAACGGACTAACGCCTGAACTTGCCAAACTGAGCCCATATGGAGGTATATATGATTTCACTTATCCCTTCTTATTTCCTCCTTAAGATTACAGAAGCTCAAGTGCATCCCGAGCACTTTGAAGATTCAAATATCACCGTGCCCCGATGAAATCATGAACGGACTAACACCTGAACTCACTAAACTGAGCCCATGTGAAGGTAGGAGAAACCACGCAATCATTGGCACTTTTGAGTTTATTTCGAAAAAACAAGAAAACAATAGATTTAACGGAATAGTGCTGCTTATTTTCAAATTTTAAACCATTATTTTAATTTGCTATATCATTTACTTTTATTCTACAACTAAAACTGTACCCTTAGCATGACCCATAATCGACTTTGAATAGTTGAATCCGATCTCCCTCGATACGCGTCAAATTTCTAGAAGTTTTAAGAAGTAAATGCATTTTTTACAATAGATGTCGCTAGGTGCGCTTAAATGTGATTTATGTAAGTTGATTTCTTTACAATAGACGTCGCTAAGTGCTCTTACACGTGATTCATGTAAGTTGATTTTTCTGAGAGATAAACTTTTTTAATGTAATATAAATTGTCATGTTTGTGTACGATAGCGCAATAAATAAATATTGTATTCTACCACATACATAGTACTTTTATACTAATAATTAAAGCAATTCGTGCAAAATTATTCCCTAACCATTCCAAACTATCCAAAATGCACAACGTTAATATTCAAGTTTTCACTTCTGCCGGCACTCCCGGAGTGCAACCCGTCGTTTGTTTTTATTGTATCACTGGAAAAGAGTGGGTACTTAAGTCACAGGGTTTTCCTTTCTTAAGTAGCTGCAGATCCTTAGTTTTAAAACATTCTATGCCTGTTATTGGTAAAACAATATTGTAAATAAAATATCTGAGAATAAAAATTATTATTATTTAATTCTCCTTACGTCCGTTGTGTCGCTGTTCAAATTTCCATACAAAACATCTTGCCAATTTGACGCTATCGAGATCGAATTCAACTAGTTTAATTCGAAATCGGTTCGTGCTAAGGGTACTGTATCCTTAGCACGAATCAAAAACGAATTCGAAACGTTTGCGAGTCCGAAACGTCATTGTCAAATATGTACTGATTTTTAGTTCTCGTTACGGACTTTGTGGTGCTGCTGTTCAAGTTTCCATACAAAATTTGGCATTGACATTTCAGACTCGCAAACGATTCGAATTCGATATTGGTTCGTGCTAAGGGTACAGGGGGCAAATCGCCTAACGGAAATGCTTTGGAAAACACTAACGCTTACGATTTTATTTTGTTATTTCTAGCCGCCTGAGGTATTCAAATGCCTCGCGCTCTTTCTTTTTCTTTTGCATTGGTAATAACAATATTAAAAAAAAATGAGCGTGAGGTATTCGAAAACCTCAGGCGGCTAGAAATAACAATATAAAATCGTAAGCGTTAGCGTTTCCCAAAAGCATTTCCGTTAGGCGATTGGCCTCCAGGTCTTATTTTGATTTGTTTCAAACTTGTTTCGTTCAACTATTGAATTCGCACGTTCGTTTCGTCCAGACGAGAACGTGCGGCCGTGCAAGGAGATCCTGCCCTTCCCCACGAGCCCGTCGTGCGCGCCGCACGTGCAGTACCGCGCGCTGCTGTTCCTGCACGTGCGCGACATCAACCTGGCCGCGGCGACGTCGCGCGTCGGCTCCGCGCGCAACGTCGCCGTGAGTGCAACATGCTACCGTTCCCAACTATTGTTTTTGGAGTTTGATCATCATCATCAGCCTATTAATGTCCCCACTGCTGGGGCACAGGCCTTCCCTATGGATGGAATAGGGAGATTGGGCCGTGACCCACCACGCGGGCCCAGTGCGGATTGGTGGGTGCTAACGACTGCAAATGCAGCCGGGACCAACGGCTTAACGTGCCTTCCGAAGCACGGAGGAGCTCGAGATAGTAAATTTTTGGTCACCCTTCCAATGACCGACCACTGCGAAAGTTGCTTAACTTCAACGATCGCAGCCGAACGCGCTAGCCACTTGCGCCATCGAGCTCCTCATTGTGCATTTAGCCAATGTCAATTGTAAAATGTTTACATATTTTATAGCACTCGTGGTCAAAATATTAGTCAAGTCAAAGTAAGTGGCAGTTAAGTCAATAACCCTTTCCGTATGTTTCAGTAAATGTGTGGGGATTTACTGGAACCTCCCCGTGGACTTATTGAGGGAACGTCGAAAGACACTTTCCGCTATTTTGTTTCACTTGCCAACACTTGTGCATGTTTCCGAACACTTAGTGGTTAATAATCCACCATTATTAGACACTAACATCCGCCACAACACAATTTTTAACAAGAAAAACAAAACTGCTAAAGTGACGCTTCCCGATCCCGCCAAAAAGTCCTATTTTTGGTTTTTTCATCAATATACCATTTAGTTTTCTTTTTAAACTATCAATAGATAGATAGAGATAGACACATAAAAAATAATTTTACTCATTCTATGCTCCTTTGAGGCTACTCAAATTGGTTCGAGTGTTAGACGTATTTATTTAATTTATGAGTTTGATTGTGCTCTAACCTCGTGTCGTTGTGATTCAGGTTCGCATACAGCTGATGGCGGGTGAGGAACAGAGCTGCGCCCTAGCGGCCATCTTCGGTCGCAGCTCGTGCCCGGAGTTCACCACTGAGGCTTACACCACCGTGCTATATCATAACAAGTATGATTATTCACAATCACTTCTTGTATCATCATCATCATCATCAGTGACATCCTGTATACCTTTCTTATAATTTCGTCTCTTTATCCAACTTCCACTTCTTCATACCCTTTTCATCATCAGCCTATTAATGTCCTAACTGCTGGGGCACAGGTCTTCCCTATGGATGGAATAGGGAGATTAGGCCATGACCCACCACGCGGGCCCAGTGCGGATTGGTGGGTGCTAACGACTGCAGATGCAGCCGGGACCAACGGCTAAACGTGCCTTCCGAAGCACGGAGGAGCTCGAGATAGTAAGTTTTGGTCACCCATCCAATGACCGACAACTGCGAAAGTTGCTAAATTTCAACAATCGCAGCCGAACGCGCTAACGAATTGCGCCATCGAGCTCCTCAACTTTTGTATACATACATATAATAATAATGTTTATTCATCAAATCTTACAAGTACTACAACAATAACATATCTTAAAATAAACTAGGAATGGTTTGCTGTCTTACAATCTTATAAGTAGGACCTCTGATTTATGCTAGGTAAGACCTGTATTAAGAAAGGCAGTGGTTCGATTCGAGACACCTGATGATTACAAAACGTTATTGATTAATGTGTGTGTCTGAGTGTGTATGTGTGTGTATCTTTATGTATGTGTATACATACTTATTGTGTTTGATAGTTGACTATCATACACCGTTGGAATCTATAACGTGGTTCGTGTCTGTATGTATGTCTGAACTGAGTTATCCTGATCCAAGCCTAGAAACTTGGTCAATCCACAATATAAATTTTTTTCTAGTAAACTATTCTTTTGAATAAACATCTAGCAGTTAGATGCTTAAAAAAATAAAAATACATAACTGTAATTGCTATTTCTTCTTTCAAATGTTTAATACTTGTAAAATTATTCATTTGACATTGTGGGTTACCTACAATGCGAAGAGATGGCGCCGCCTTGCAGCCTAAGGCTAGAGAAAAATTCGACACGGCTACAGGGCCGCGGTAGCATAATGGTCAGTGCATTCCCCCGGATAGCGAAGGGTGAGGGCTCGAGTCCCGTCTGCTGCCTGGTCCGCGTGGATATATTTTTTCTAGTTAACTTTGATTTAGAATAAACGTGTAGCAGTTAAAAAAATGTTAATACAAAATGTGCATTTTGGAAATAGATATCAAATAATATTTTAGTTTTGATTTACTATTTTAGAGGTAATGGCTTACACATTAAAAATAGATATATGGTGTGTGATGTTAAATTCTCCTCCACTGCCCTCTTTTAAGCTCACTCAGAGCACCGGGGAAACAATGAAAGAAAACCAAAAGAATTAAGATAATGTTATAAGTATATTTTATCAACTTTAGATACCAAAGCAGATGAATTCAGTAGTTTTAAGTTATTGCTTATATAAATCACCAAGCCTAACTATGTTTATTATTTATATAATAACTATGTTTCACTAATTATAAATATCTAAGCTGAATACAGTAGTTCAAAGTTAAAGTTTATATAAACCAACAAGTTGACATGGAATGTTTCATCTATGTTTTACTGATTAAATATCTAAGCTGAATACAGTAGTTTAAAGTTAAAGTTTATATAAACCAACAAGTTGACATGGAATGTTTCAACTATGTTTTACTGATTAAATATCTAAGCTGAATACAGTAGTTTAAAGTTAAAGTTTATATAAACCAACAAGTTGACATGGAATGTTTCAACTATGTTTTACTGATTAAATATCTAAGCTGAATACAGTAGTTTAAAGTTAAAGGTTATATAAACCAACAAGTTGTCATGAAATGTTATAATTATATGAATATCAGACATTCATAACACTCTACCATGTACTTACATGAGTTCTCAACTATATCTAATATATTTTATCCACACATACCACATAGACTAGACTGAATAAGCTATTTAGTGGATTTCAGAGGTTCTACGGCTCGTTTGATCGATATTGGTGACAAACTTAGTTAATTCCAGTTCTCAGTGAGATAACCAGTTATATAGATATATGTAAATATATGGAAATGGGTAGATCGGGGTCCAACCTCGCCTTGTGGTTCTTCTCCACGCTCACCCGGGGTTAGTAATGAAAATACCTTGTTTAGGATAGGTTTAGCAGTGTATGATCTGTCCGCTGTTACGGCCGGGTTACATAAAACCGGAGAGCGGCTGGTAAATGTATAGTTTTCAGGTGAAAGAGTAACAAAGATCCATACAAACGTAAGATTGAAATTAAAAGCGCAAGTGGTTAATATACAACTTTAAAGCGTTGTTGATCCTAAACAATCAAAAAAAACATTCATTAAGATATTTTAAAATATCACCTCAGCTTTTATCAAAAGTATAAATTCATTGCCACTTCACTAAGCTCATGCGAAGTTATGTTTTTTTGATCAGTTTTTTTTACGTTTGGAATAAACTAAAGTAAAGAGCATCCTTTTCACTTATTAATTTCACCAATCTGAGTTCGACCGTTTTCGAGACCTAAGTTTAAGAATGTGTTGTGTTTTTATTTTCAATAACATTTTGTTCTCTTTCTTACATACTCAACCCTGTCTCTTTAAAATGAGATCAAATAATAATTTCCTTATTTTCTTTTAAACATGCAGAACGCCGTCTCTATACGATGAGATCAAGCTAAAATTGCCCGCGGACTTGGGCGACCAGCACCATCTTCTATTCACATTCTTACACGTGTCCTGCCAAAGGAAGCCCGTCGCTCCGGACCAGGAGAAAAACGTGGAAACGCCTGTTGGTTACTCGGTAAGTATCTGTATCAAGGGGGCGTTCAAGTACTACGTAACGTACACAAATTTTGAAGATTTTTGCCTCTTTTGATTTTTTTTTTATCTATACCAAGGCTCGGGTTGATACCCTATGATGTTTAATACCCTAAATCGTGGCCGAAACCTGCCCAAAAGGTACATTGGACGATCAACAGAGCTCCGTAAGATGATCGCGTATTCAAAAACAATATAAGACATTATTTAAACATTCAAAGTCACCTTTAATGCCTAGTTAATAAGGTCTTGATTTAAACGCATGCCTCAAAGGGTTATGAACAAAGCAAGATAGGCCAATTAGGTCCCTGCCTCAGCATAATAACACAGCAATACCAGGGCTGCTGCAGCACTGATATTATGGCAGTTCCTAAGGTCGATGACACGTATTTTTTTGAATAATAATAGTAATATAACCTAAGAATTCCAAAAGAAACAACCAAACCATTAAATACTTATAAAAAAAATAACAACACAGGCTGAATGGTTCTACTAAAGTATGCCTTAAGATAAAACAATGAATTAAAAAAAACACAAAAAAAAGAAAAATAACTAATTTAAAGCTTTATCTTGCGTCTGGATGGTTTCAGTAATTAACGCAATATTACTTCTGATTGCCATAACATAATTGCTTCGACTACTTACGTTGAAGCTAATCTAATGTGCACCGTATTTGCAATTATATGTTTATCTCATTTTTTTCCTTCTCTTTCCTACCAGTGGCTGCCTTTATGCCGTAACGGTAAACTTACCTGCGGGGAATTCAACTTGCCCGTGATGCAAGAGGAACCGCCGCCAAACTACTCGTACATATTCCCAGACGTGTTACTGCCCGGCACCAGGTGGATCGACAACCATAAGCCTATATTCAACATCGTATTGGACGCTCACACTACTGTGCACCCGCTGGTAAGCGAAAATGATCACTATCTCGTACTAAATAAGACGCATTATCGTTTGCTAAAGTTAGGTAGAATACCTACCCAGCGCCAGGTGGATCGACAACCATAAGCCTATATTCAACATCGTATTGGACGCTCACACTACTGTGCACCCGCTGGTAAGAAGAAATGTACCTTATCTTTTAATAAATTAGTCGCATTATCGTTTGCTAAAGTTAGGTAGAATACCTACCCAGCACCAGGTGGATCGACAACCATAAGCCTATATTCAACATCGTATTGGACGCTCACATTACTGTGCACCTGCTGGTAAGCGAAAATGATCACTATCTTTTACTAAATAAGACGCATTATCGTTTGCTAAAGTTAGGTAGAATACCTACCAAGCATCAGGTGGGTCGACAACCATAAGCCTATATTCAACATCGTATTGAACACTCACACCACTGTGCACCCGCTGGTAAGAAGAAATGTACCTTATCTTTTAATGAATAAGTCGCACTATCGTTTGCTAAAGTTAGGTAGAGTACCTACCCACACCAGGTGGATCGACAACTATAAGCCCATATTTAACGTCGTATTGAACGCTCGCATGACTGTGCACACGCTGGTAAGAGGAAATGTACCTTATCTTTTAATAAATTAGTCGCATTATCGTTAGCTTAATTTAGGTAGAATTTCTACCCAGCACCAGGTGGATCGACAACCATAAGCCTATATTCAACATCGTATTTGACGCTCACACCACTGTGCACCCGCTGGTAAGCGTAAATGTACATTATCCTTTAATACATAAGCTACATTGGGTACTATTAATCGTTGTAATTAACTTTAATCCTTCTTTTTTATGCCTAAACAGTAGGACGCGGCATACTTAAACATACCTAAACTTTTTAAACCAGTTTTTTATATTTTTTTATTTTATATTCATAATTTTTATATTATTTACATTTGTAACGGAAAGTGACTTCATGAGTTACCTCATATTGAAGTCATTTTTCAATTTGACAACGCTGTATATAATACAGGGAGAAAAAAGCAGCCCTTGCTGAGTTTCTTGCCGGTTCTTCTCAGTACAAGGTCTCCCGCCGTAGATTTGCGAACCGATGGCGTATCTTTTCGACATTCACAAGTGCTTGTAACAGCCTAGACTGATTTAAGGATATTGTCTTTTTTTATTTTAAGCCTGTTGCCACTCCCCTGTGGCGAGGTATGCGTCACGCATTTTCCTGACCAAAAAAAAGGCTTACAATAAGCTTGTTTTTGCCACCGTTTTTATGTTAAAAAAACAATGGTTTTGTGTAGGACGGGTACATAGAACGGTTCGCGATGGCATGCGAAGCTGTACAGGAGGGGAACATTCCGGCCAGAATCGGCCTCGCCAATATGGAGACCGAACTCAGAACCAGGTACGTGGTAAACGTAAAATTTGCTATAGTTATATGTAATATTTTGGTAATGTGTTAATAAAAATGAAGGTTTTCCAAGATTTAAGACAGACTTTGAAAGCAAGTTTGTAATGTGTGAAGTAATTTAGTCTTTGTCACTTTTCCATTTCATAATTATTCAGAAAAATAGTAAATATATATAGAATCTCTAAATGGTTGGCAATATTAAGGGAGTTTTCCATTCATGACTCCGTTTACCACGCAATACAAAAATTCATACATCTGGTTCCACCAACAAAGAGTAGAGCGAAAATGACAAAGAGGGCAAAAAGAGTAAAACTGAGCTAGTTAGTTCGGAACTTTTTCTCGGTGGAAAAGCAATCCTATTTTATATGCAGGAACAGGATTCCTAGTTCATTCCTCTTTGTTGGTGGAAAACGGGCTTTTGTATTAAATACATATCAGATGCCAATAATTGCTACATTCGCTTGTGTTAGATAAAACTAGGTTTACTTTAGAAATTAACTTTATTAAATAGACAAATTCACATCATAAGGTTACAATAAACAGAATGCCACGCGCTCGCGCATACGCGGGGAATCCCACATCACATCTGTCAGTTTATTTTGACAACTAGTGCGGCCGAACTTAGAGCTAAACAATACGTACGTTGCTAATTGATTAAAGGTTATTTCGCCTAACGCTTGAAATCAACCATTACTTAGAAAGAGAAAATACAACTAATACAAAGATGAATACTATACTCTGCCCTATTGCTTCATCTCTCCTACATTCATCTGCCTAGTTTTACTTCACAGTCACTTAAGGAATGCATAGTACATTCTCTTTTTTAATATTATTACTTAATTTTATATTTAATCCGTGGCCGAGTGGTTTGTACGCTGGGTTTCATGGTGTCGCCGTCTCGAAAGGTCCCGGATTCCAATCCCTTTGGGGCAGATGTTTGTGTAATGAATACGAGCATTACTACCCCAGTCATGGATGTTTAATACGTATTTCTATATAAACATGCTTATATATGTATAGTAGTATTTCTATATAAATATACTTATATATGTATACTATGTGTATTCTTTTGTTGTAATATTGATAAAAATGCACTCGGAAATACAGTTTGTTTTAATTTTATACATTGATAGGAACATCGTTTCATATTATACGGGAATGGGCGTTAATTCTGCAACACAGTTTTTGTAAAACTAAAGCAGATTTAACGATACATAATTTTATGCACATTGCACTTGTTCCAAGTAAAGTTATTTTTAATATTATATTATTATTATTATTCTATCCGTTACCCTAGTATCCAATAACACAAGCCTTACAATGATTACTTTGGGGCTATTCTAATTACTGGGAAATTATTATTATTATTATTATAATGTTATGAAGTTTTCCTCCACAGACAATGAATTTCAGTAACAGATTGGGAAAAACAAATTTGACTTTCCAACTATTTCGTATTACGCTTCTCATTTGGATAAAGAAATTTTGTCTCTGACTATGTCTATGGCTACACCGTCTTGTGTTGCATTCGTACAGCATAGCGGAGCTCCCGACGGGCAGCGTGGAAGCTCTGTCCGCATACCTGCCCGTACTCCTGGACAAGTTGCTGCGGCTACTGGTCGCGCCGCCCTCCCTTCACTCGCAGCCCCTCAACATCGCACAACAAGTTTTCACCTGCCTCGCCCAGCTGTTCACCGAGATAACGGTAACGGACACACTTCCCCGTAGCATGAGCACCACGATTTACACGTATATCACTCTTTCTTATTTTTTATTCGCGTCTAACTGTCAAACTCCATAGTTGACGACCTCCGTGGCCGAGTGGTTTCTACGCGGGGTTTCATAGCATCGCCGACTCGAGTGGTCCCGGGTTCGAATCCCGGTGGGGGCAGATGTTTGTGTGATGAACACGAGCATTTGTACTCCAGATCTGGATGTTTAATATATATTTCTATATAAATATACTTATATATGTAAAGTATATGTATTCTATCCGTTACCCTAGTATCCCATAACACAAGCCTTATAGTGCTTACTTTGGGGCTAGGCTAATTGGTGTGAGTGTTGGAAATATTTATTTATTTATTATTATTTTTAGTAATTTGACATTTCAGTCAGCGTGGTAAAAACGAGCTATATATCATCATACTAGGGGAGAATACACATAATGAGAACTCGAAAGTGCACCCATTCTTCTTGGAAATCTCTTTAAACCTGTGGCGGCGACATCTATACGCCACCCATATAACCAACATGCAGAAAGTAATCACTCGCCTTGTCAAGAGATGGCGCTACCGGCGTTATATTCAAAAAGTATGAAAGCCTACATCACGCAAGAGAAATCATTTACGTAACTCTTCATATATACAAAGCCCGATCAACATCAGTTAAATAGCTATCATGACCCAGCTCGGTTTAAGTTCTTCCCCTTTGGCCTTCCATAAACTGTTGGGATTCGACTGCATTATAGTCGTTACAACCACCATTCCGCACTGATCACGCGTGATGTTGTCATGTTCCGGTGTCCCTATTCCCTCCATAAAAAAGGTCTCTGCCCCAGCAGTGGTGAAGTTAATAGGTTAATTAAGACTATTTTGTTATGACTATAACTCGTCGAAGTTTTGAAAGTTTCATATTAATACCTATCTATCGTCACGCGTACGGTGGGGTAGGCAAAGAGAATGGAGAAAATAAATGATAACACATATGAATTGACTATATTATTGTGTTGTTTCGTATAGAACATGAATGAGGGCGCCACTTGCGACGCACACGGGCGCTCCAGTTTAATCTCCGCCTACATTCAGTACCAGGCGTCCATACCGCGGCCCGCCCTCACCGACACAGATATCGGGCTGCCTCTGCCCCCCGCCGGTGAGTGTATTATTGTCTGGTACAGAACATGCCTGATCCCCGCCCACATCCAGTGCCAGGCGTCCATACCGGGGCCCGGCCTTACCGACTGATATCGGTTGTTCCCTACGAAGTTCCCTTTTTTCCATAAAAAAATATTCATTAATATTCGTCAGTTGAAATAATAATTTTAGTTGAGGTAGATTCTACAGTCCTGAATTTAATAAATGCCACTTTAATTCTTAATGGCGATACGATAAATGTCATGTTTTTACACTTGCCTATCAATCAAATATCAATGGGGACGTCATTTTTCCTATTGGTAATCTTTCACACATGTCTTGCCTTGATAACAAATGAATTTTATCTTCGATATATTGATTTGGAAAAACTGAAGCCGTATTATGAAATATTAACGCCAGTCAAATACATCTAAAAGAACGAGATGCCGCACAACTGTTAACATGATGTGTCACTCGAACAACAGAACTTGCTTGGTGTGAAGAGTTTAAAATACGATCTATTTTGGGTTGTGGGTTACCGACAATGCGAAGAGATGGCGCTGCCTTGCAGGCTAAGAAATACTAGAAGAAATTCGACACGACCATTAAGGCCGCGGTAGCATAATTGGTCAGTGTATCATCTACCCGTAAAGCGGAGGGTCCTGGACACCTGGACAGTGTGTTTTTTTATAAAAAAAATATTTTTTTTCTAGTAAACTTTTCTTTAGATTTAAACATCTAGCAGTTAAACGCTTAAAAAGAAAAAAAAACATAACTATAATTGCTATTTCTTCTTTCAAATGTTTAATACTTGAAAAAGTATTCATTTGACATTGTGGGTTACCTACAATGCAAAGAGATGGCGCTGCCTTGCAGCTTAAGGCTAGGAAAATTTCGACGCGGCTAATAGGGCCGTGGTAGCATAATGGTCAATGCATTCGCCCGGATAGCGAAGGATGCGAGTTCGAGTCCCGTCCGCTGCCTGGTTCGCGTGGATTTTTTTCTAGTAAACTTTTCTTTAGATTTAAACATCTAGCAGTTAAATGCTTAAAAAATAAATAAAATCATAAATGCTTTAAATTAAAATATAATAAACAACGAACTTTTTTTCCCCGTTTGTGTAGTGCTGACTGACAGCACATGCAAGATATTGCACGAGGAGTTGGCACTGCAGTGGGTTGTGGCAAGTGGGGCCACTCGGGACCTCGCTATGCAGAACTCATGGTAAGAGATACATTGGTGTCGATTCTGACATGATTATCTAAATTTAAAACTAAATTTAACTCTCTTTCATTCTGTTTAGAGACCGACAAGGATACACACATAGGATACATAATCTCGAATTTACTGCCACTTTAATTCGTATAACCTGTATTTCTGAAAATTACTCGTGACCAGGTCTTCTGAGCCAGTTGTATTTCATTTACTGAATTACATTATTACAATCAGCCTATTAATGTGCCCACTGAGGGTCTTCCCTATGGATGGAATGGAGCCAATCCCAGGCGTTTTCGGTCACTTGATCTTAGGACAAAATAACATTTAAATTTGATGATTTTGTAGACAAGTTATTAATCCTTTTGTATTCTCTGAATAGTAAAATCGCTGCTGATGTTCATATTCAATACAGATATGCCAAAAATTGGTACTTTATTTTTCATACTGTCAAATAGCCTATTGTGTTATATTGCTCGTGTATCAGGGCTCTATTCGAGCTGATGGTGAAGTCCATGGTGGAATACTTGTACTGGAGCGGAGCCCACGAAGCCCCGCGCAAGGCTCGCTTCCCCGACCAATTCACAGATGACCTTACCACCCTCGTCAACAACGTCACCTCCGAGATCATCTCCGGGTGAGTTACCATGCGATACCTTTCCTTTACAGTAAGATAGACTAACGACGTGTCTGCAAAACACAAAAGAAAGTAAAAATATATAGTTAGTTTATATTTTTTAAACATGTCAAGTTCAAAGATTGTTGAAGACGTGTACACGTGGGTTCATTAGGCTAGATAGTGTTATTAATATTGTATACGTTCTACATATAAAGGCTTACACACGTACTAGATAGGGGTAAAACTAATAGCTTCTTTATAAGATTAATATTCGTTTGTTCATTCGCAAGATATGTGGCCGGATCTATCATTGTGTACCGGAATTTATAAATGGTTTTTAATTTACACAATTTATGCCGCAAATTTCCGAAACTCGCCAGGGATTCCAAACATGTACCTAGGGTGCTTCCCGTTAACTCAGAATCTTGAAATTTGGTACGCAACAATAACTTATAGCACAGCAATTTGCGAATATAGTGTTAGTCTACATAGAACAATTATTTTCAGTAACTTGTTGTTATATTTATACTAAACTTAAACAGTTACTTTTGTGCAGTTATAATATAGCATTTAATATCCGGCTGTAGTCTACGTACCTAATTAAACTCATAACGCACAAAACGCAAACAAAATTAAACTGTATACTGAGATTATCCAGAAACGAATTCCACATGATTTCTCCTTTGCCACTATATGGGAACTAGCGGCTGCCCGCTACTTCGTCTGCGCAACTTTAGTTTTTGGGAATCCCTCAGGAGCCTGTTTTATTTTTATTTTACGGCTTAAAAATATCCTATGCCTTTTTCCAGATGTGTAAAAGTTCATCCAAATCGATTCAGTCGTTCTTTCGTGATTGAGTAACAAACATGCAAACTTTCACATTTATAATATTCGTTGGATTAAAATAGACAAATAATTTGAAACTAAATCTTTTACCGATTCTCTATTTATTAGACCAAGTATATTGATATTCAATCCATCATTACAGATACGGCAAGAACTGCCGGCTGACCCAGAGCCTGAACAATAGCCTGGCCTTCTTCCTGTTCGACCTGCTCAGCATCATGGACCGTGGCTACGTGTTCCTGCTGATCCGCAGCTACCACAAGCAGATGAGCGCCAAGATCGCCTCGTTGCCAGACGCTGTGCCTCTAGTGCATTATAAGGTCAATATCTTTTACGTGTTATTGGAGTTTCTATCTTTAATATTGATGTAGATTCTGGCATAATTCACTAAACCTAAACTTAAATTTAACAACAGTCAGCTGCTCTCTTAAAAGTCTCTTAGGCGGTGTCGTGTGAGGCGGGTCGTAGCGTTCCCTAAAATATGTCTGAGCGAAGCGATGGCTGGTTCATGCGTCATGCTCGTGAACGGGTGCTGCCAGCGGAGATGAGTCTGCTCTAACTTCCTTGATATTGAAGAGGTTAATGTTTAGTTACACTTAATATAAATACCACTATTTGTATTTATACTGTATGACACAGCAATCAAAATGCAGGTAAACAATTTTTCAACTTGACGACTCTGTAAATATTAAAAACAGGGTGTAAAAAAACAGCCCTTACTGAGTTTCTTGCCGGTTCTTCTCCGTACAGGGTCTCCCGCCGTAGATTTAAGTACCGATGGCGTGGCTTCTAGACATTTATGAGTGTTATAACAGCCTCAACGGAAAAAAATATTATGATTGTCATTCTCTATACAGAATGAAAAGGAGAGACTGAAGGTTAAATTTTGTTTAAGTTTAGAATTTTCTTTATTTTTATTTTTGAAGATTCTGGTGTTTGGAAAAATGCAACTTCTTTGTTAAAGTTATTTAAAGCTATTTTCATGCTAACCTTTTTATTTGCAAAGATATTCTGATCTTTCTGCTAAATACTCATAATATAGTTGATCGTTATTTTTTAATGAAACCACGTTTATATCTCTTCGTGCTCAACCGCTTCTTTCAGGTGCTTTAAACTGGAATTACCATTGATTTCTCTGTTTTACAGTACAGGCTCGCTCTTTCAATACTACGTGTTCGCTCCGCCCTGTTTATTGTCCTGTACAGAAGATAGTATAAGTATAAATATTTCCAACACTCACACCAATTAGCCTAGCCCCAAAGTAAACACTGTATGGCATGTGTTATGGGATGCTAGGGTAGCGGATAGAATACATATACTGTACATATATAAGTATTTTTATATAGAAATACATATTAAACATCCATGAATGGAGTACTAATGGTCGTATTCATCACACAAACATCTGCCCCCATCGGGGTTCGAACCCGGGACCTCTCGAGTCGGCGACACCATGAAACCCCATCATATACCACTCGGCCACGGTCGTCAAGTTTAGAATAAAAAAGTAACTAATCTTATATTTGCAGTTGGCGTTTCTTCGCATCGTGTGTTCTCACGAGCACTACGTGAGCCTGAGCCTTCCACAAGGGGTCACTTCCGGTGCCGCATCGCCAGCGCCTTCTGCCCACTCCCACGCGTCTGCCACTAGCCTACCCTCTCCGCTCTGCCACCTGTCGCACGAGTACCGCGCCCGCCATTACCTGCCCGGCCTGCTGTTGGCTGAGCTCACCGCCGCGCTCGAAATGCAGTCAGTAATAATAATAAAAAAGCGAGTGTACTTATGACTAGACGACTGAAGTGAAACTTCTTTAGCTCCAATGATCTGAAAATCATAAACTTAACCTAAAGATTTTTTAATAGAAAAATAACGCTCAATAAAAGTCTTTCGAAGGTAGCTCGACAAATTAAATAAAAGTTTTATTCTGACGACGTAGCCTGTAAAGGCTACGAAACGTCAATAAATAAATAAAGTTTTCGTGCATTAACCCGTAAAAACTAGTTTTAGAAAAATAACCACCAATCCGTGCTGGGTCCGTTATCACCCTCCAATCCACACTGGGTCCATTATCACCCACCAATCCGCGCTAGGTCCGTTATCATCCACCAATTCGCACTGTGTCCGTTATCATCCACCAATCCGCACTGGGTCCATTGTCACCCACCAATCCACGCTGGGTCCGTTATCATCCACCAATCCGCACTGGGTCCGTTTTCACCCACCAATCCGCGCTGGGTCCGTTATCACCCACCAAGCACTAGATTCATGTATTTTGCGACGGGTATTGTTCATTGTTTACCGATGAGGTACCGATGACACTTATAGTAACGCGAAATCGTAACACATTCGCCAGTTTACCCCTCAAGTCAAGCGTGCCTAAGGAAGTTTCACTTCAATAATAATTCGCGTGAAAGATTACAGTCAACACTGTGCCTTACCCTCGCCGCTCTGCCATCCGGCGCGCGAGTGTCGCGGTACCTGCTAATTTACACTAGAAGCATAGAATTAGCTTTGTAAGGCTTTTACGAAACTCACGTTTATCATGTTAGTACTGCAGTTTTCACGATTATTAAAAAGATGTTTACTTAATTTCGAAACTTATTAACTAGAGGCAATATTACAAGACAAAGCAAGAACACTTACTGATTCTAAGTATATAATCGGAATATTGTGACGACCTTGAGAGGGAAAGCGGGCAATGCTTTTTCTATACAAACGTTCTCGACTGATTCCTCCTTTATTTTTATCACTTAAGATTTTTTTTTTTCCATACATAATTATAATTTTACTCATTCTAAGTTCCTGTGTCTTCCTTTTTTCAATAACTTGTGTTTCAAAGAAAGCTGGAAGCCGACTAGCGCTTGTAAGTGCTGTAACAGTTACATAAAGGAAGCAGATTGAAGCCTAGTTGTTCATTAATTTCAAAGGGCGCTGACCAGCGCGTGTCGGCACTTGTCGGCGCTTATCGGCGCTGGTCCATAGAAATGCTTGCGCCGGTTACCGGTAAAGAGCAGCGCTGACAATCGCTGGTCGGCTTACAACTTTCTTTCTGTATACGGCGAGGAGCTCGATGGCGCAAGTGGTTAGCGCGTTCGGCTGCGATCGTTGAACTTAAGCAACTTTCGCAGTGGTCGGTCATTGGATGGATGACCAATAATTACTATCTCGAGTTCTTCCGTGCTTCGGAAGGCACGTTAAGCCGTTGGTTCCGGCTGCATCTGCAGTCGTTAGCACCCACCAATCCGCACTGGGCCCGCGAGGTGGGTCATGGCCCAATCTCCCTATTCCATCCACCGGGAAGGTCTGTGCCCCAGCAGTGGGGACATTAATAGGCTGATGATGATGATGACCCTATAATATTAAGGATTTTGTGGCTCAGTAATATTAGGTGCGTAGGCTTTCATACTTTTTAAATACAACGCCGGTAGCGCCATCTCTTGACAAGGCGGGTGATTACTTCCTCAAGTTGGTTATATGGGTGGCTTGTAGATGTCGCCGCCACAGGCTTAAAGAGATTTCCAAGAAGTATGGGTGCACTTTCGAGTTGTCATTATGTGTATTCTCCCATAGTATGAGCATTGAGCCGCCAATCCGCACTGGGCCCGCGTGGTGGGTCATGGCCCAATCTCCCTATTCCATCCATAAGAAAGGCCTGTGCTCCAGCAGTGGGGACATTAATAGGCTGATGATGAATGAGTACCCAGCTTTCATATTCATATTCATTTATTGCATCTTGTTGTATACACAGGTGTTACAAGTATGGTTAGGTTCCAAACAAGAGCCCTGTAAGGGCACGGCAAATAATTAGATTATTATTACAATTACATATTTTATACAAAATTAAATCACATATCTTAATTATATTATTAATTAATAGTAACATTTAAATACAAAAATAGCTTTACAGTTTACATTAATATTATGGGTTTATGTCATGTTTATTTATTTACCTAACCTATTTTTTCGTCAATATATTCGTTTACAGAATAGTCAGCCTTATTTGATTGAAATTTTTAAGATTACTGTAAAGTTAATCGTGTGTATGGTGAGTTGAGTATGAGTAGGGAAACAAACAATCACAACAAATATTAATTTCATACTAATTTATTATAACGCAAGTACATATTTACATAGTAACGTAAAGTGGGTCATAATGCCTAAGTTCATTGACTCGCTAGACGCTACATTACTATCAATAAGTCTTAAGTATCTTTAAGTTGGTCTCCCACTCGGTTCACAGAAGCAGCGCGGTGCAGGGCGCGGCAGTGTCTGCCGTGGCGGCGCTGCTGACGGCGCACGACGCGGACCCGAGGCTTTGCGCGGCCGACGGGGACGTGAAGGCACGCGTGGCCGCACTCTACCTGCCTCTCATCAATATCGCGCTCGACGCCCTGCCGCAGCTGCACCGCGGCTTCGCCGACAACAAGGGTGAGAACCGACCATATTAAATACCCTAGGTCAGGGTAGGCGAACCTTTATGAATCAACGTGCCATTTTTTCTAAAAAATCTTTAATTGGGTCATTGGTATGCCATCAAATAATTTTGACTTTATGATTATTTAGAAGATAATAATATAAATACTATCAGAAATCTTTATGAAATAAAGTAAACCAAAGAGACACATTCTGGAATGTTTTTATTACACGCATAAATTAGATTACTGTAAAATTAGTGTGACTTCTGTTGCTGCAGGTTTGATAACAAATAATTTATGTTAGGGTTGTAAGATGCTACTTTTAGCAAAATGCATGCTGAACTGATCTGTCAAACGGTTTCTAAACGAGTTTTTAATGTTATTCATCTCTGAAAACAATGACTCGCAGGCATAGGTAGATGAAAACATTGTTAAAATAGCATGTGCTAACTTCTTCAAACAGTTACTTCGTAGCGTAGGATCACTCGCGTTCGATCGTCATAAAATACCTACTTAAATCATTTTTTACACATGTTTTATGATTGGCGACGTGCCCAAAATATTGTGTCGCGTGCCATCAGTGGCACGCGTGCCATTGGTTCGCCTACCCTGCCCTAGGTACTATCGCGGAATTTTACGCTCTGTCACTTGGCGAACAAAATGCTTTGAACGGTTTTATACAGTAGCTTTTACTACGCCCCGCCTTCGCGGACGCCCCAATCCGGGCCGCCGCACAAAAGTAAGACAGAGAGCATTTCATTGATTGAATAATGAATTGAATTGCATTTGTTTTAGTTGCAATTTGTCATCCGCATCGTGATCGCGACAGCGCTATACGAAAAAGTAAGACAGCGATAATTACATGTCTATGAATGAATTTTTACTATGCCGCTACCGCAAGCGATTATGGCATTATGGGTGACAGAGCGGGTCTTTCCGCGAGTGTACACCAACACGAACAAAATCGTGCCCGAAACCTGTCCATAAGGTACAATGGACGATCCATGGCGCTCTGTAAGATGATCGCGTAGTCAAAAATAAATAACAAAATATTCCCCCCAGAAGCAGAATGGCTAATCTCTGTCTGATCAAGTGCGGCCATTAGGAGTCGCATGTAGTGTTAGTGGGTTCGGAAATGAAAAGATTTTTAATTGTTAGTAAACGAATCCCTTTATTGTGCACAATAAAAATTCAATTGCCGTCACGTATCGGTAGTTGTGTAGAAGGGGTGACGACTGGCCTGCCAGAGAATTCGTCCTGGATGTGGTTGGTGTCCAATCTTCGGGAACTTCAGGTGTTAGTTGAAAGCGTCGGTCAGTTCAGCCGAAGAATTTCCGTTATAGTTCAAATATTGTCGTAGTTTCTAGGTTACAGCCGCAGGAAAACAGGAGTCAATCCTCTTTATAGGTTAAGTCTCTCCATATCACCCCGGCGGGAATCTATTTGGACACTTTTCTCCGATGACTTTATTCGAAAACAAGGAACGAGGGCGCACGCTAGCAATGCTTGGCTCAGACTCAAATTCAAATCATACGGCGACGCATGCGAAATGCATTCCTAACACAGACACCGCCCACTTTACGTAAACAATTTTCATTCATTTCTTAAAATTTCCTACTATTTTATGTATTTAATGTTTTTAGATTTCTCCTTTGACGCAGTTTACGTTAAAATAGAAGAAAATTTAGATTAAAATTTTAAATCTTATTGTTTATTGAAGACTATATAAACGCACAAAGTTACACAAGGTAAAGATGAAAAATAATGATAGTTTAGGATATAGATAGGTAGATAATTCTTTATTGAACACACCACATTATATAGTACAAAGTTAGGACAATAATTTAAAAAGGTAGACAGTTAGCGGTTTTACGGCTATGTAGCCATTTCTTCCAGACAACCATAGGATGGAGAGACGAATTTAATTAAAGAGGGGGTGTGCAATTACTAAACTTAAATAGAAAAAAAAAGAAAACAAAATGTAAAATTTTCGGCTAGGTTCAATCGATATGTATTAACAATATTGTTTTTTTGTTTTTCAGAAATTCTGCCATTAGACAGTGAAGTCAGTCATTTCAGTAACTTTTACACTATTGCTACGCCCGACGGAGATTATAAGCAGGTGAGAACAAACTACTTTTTTATCATCATCATCAGCAGCCTATTAATGTCCCAACTGCTGGGGCACAGGCCTTCCCAATGGATGGAATAGGGATATTGGGCCATGACCTACCACGCGATTTTTTGTCACCCATCCAATGACCAACCACTGCGAAAGTTGCTTAACTTCAACAATCGCAGCCGAACGTGCTAACCACCAGTGCCATCGAGCTCCTCATTACTTTTTTAACTCTAGAATTAAGTTACTTATTGAAAAATAAAAAGCGGATCCAATTTAATGATGATTGTAAGATATATGAAAGTAGATGTTAACAGAAGATGCATGTGAAGAATTTATTACAACTTTACAATTTTTAATTATTGACATTTTAACAAAGTTTGAAATATGTACAATTTCAAATATGTACTTTCGAAATGTTGCCGCAGTTCTTGATCGTAAATTAATAGTAAGAAGTGTCTGAATCGTGGATAGACATTGACATATAGATAAAAGGATGATGTTAAAATCCATTAAATCGCGCTTCATACCTGCTGAAATTGCCCGTTTTAAATGTGTTTTATTCAAAATTCAATATTCAATCTAGTCTGTTACAAGCACTTGTGAATGTCGAAAAGCTGGCGTAGCTTTTCGGTTCGCAAATCTACGGCGGGACACCTTGTACTGAGAAGGACCGGCAAGAAATTCAGCAAGGGCTGTTTTTTTCTCCCTGTATTATATACAGAGTCGTCAAATTGAAAAATGATTTGATATAACTTATGATGTCACTTTCCATTACAAATGTAAATGATATAAAAATTATGAGTATAAAATAAAAAACGAGCGAGCCTTACAGTAGTCGCGTATGATGTGTAACATTTGAAACCTCACCTTAAATTAGTAAAAAAAGGAATAAAACCTACTACAAAAGAAATAAGCCATTTGAACATTATGTTCTAAAATCAAATAGCGCGCTTTCGCGACTTTCTGTTACGCACTTCCGTCCCATTTCACGAAATCGCTCCCACAAATTGCAGGAAAGCAAGAGGAAAGATGTTACACATCAAAGTATACAGGGCGTCCCACGGCTACCTCACATGGAGGGAAAGTATATTAAATATTGAAGATAGCATATTTAACTGAGAGAAGACATCGTTTTATTTTTAATAATAACTAGAACTGCATTCACAGATTTTTAAAAATCGCCTGCTACAACTTGGAATCAAACTCGTGAAATTTCGAAAAAAAACACGACACGATAATGTCTTCTTTCAGAAAAATATCCTATCTTCATTATTTAATATACTTTCCCTCCGTGTGAGGTAACCGCGGGCCCTGTATACTGATTTAATTATCGTAACAAGTATATTCTTCGAGTAATGTTTTGTGATGTTATCAATGTTGGCACAGTCGTCGCGGCCTCCGTTCAGCAGCGAGACCTCCCGCAACCTGGTGATGTGCGTAGTGTGGACGTTGAAGTGGGCCTCCACTGCGGCCCTGGGCAGTGTCGTTGCCGAGCTGCCTGCGCGTGGACTGCACGCCTTACTGGCCCTTATTGACCTGGCCTTCCGCTGTCAGGAGTACAAGGTGACGTCACACAAACATATGCTTTTGTTGGAAACCCGGATTTATGTTGACTCCTTTTAAAACATATTCTTTCGACTTGCATTTACGAATCACATTAATATTATAAAGGTAAAAGTGTGTAAGTGTCGTTGCCGAACTGCCTGCGCGTCGACTGCACGCATTACTGGCCCTTATTGACCTGGCCTTCCGCTGTCAGGAGTACAAGGTGACGTCACACAAACATATATTATGCTTTTGTTGGAAACCCGGATTTATGATATGACTCTTTTCAAAACATATTCTTTCGAATTGGATTTATGAATCACACTAATATTATAAGGGCGAAAGTTTGTAAGTGTCGTTGCCGAACTGCCTGCGCGTCGACTGCACGCATTACTGGCCCTTATTGACCTGGCCTTCCGCTGTCAGGAGTACAAGGTGACGTCACACAAACATGCTTTTCTTGGGGACTCGGCTTTATGATGACTCTTTTTATTTGCTATGGAGTTATCTGACTTTCTGGATTAACAGATAGGCTAAGTTTTACTGCGGGAAAATAGCCCTAATAAACCGTGGGTAACACCGCGGGGCACAGCTAGTAAAGTATATTTTTAAGCTTTACCTACAATGCGAAGGGATAGCGCTGCCTTGCAGCTTAAGAAAGGTTAGAGAAAATTCGACACAGCCGTCAGGGCAGGTGGTAGCATAATGGTCAGTGCATTCGCCTGGATAGCGAAGGGTGCGGGTTCGAGTCCCGTCTGCTGCCTAGTCCGCGTGTAATTTTTTCTAGTAATATTTTTTTAGTTTTAAACTTCGCGCAGTAACATGCTTAAAAAATACAAATATAACATATACTTTTGTTGGAAACCCGTCCTTATGATGGCTCTTTTCAAAACCAATTTTTCTTGACTTAGGTTTACGAATAAAGTATATTTTGTTAATTGACAAATAAATTTTGTACCACAGGGACGAAAAGAAATCATGAAATGCGCTCAGCAAAACGTTCGTAAAACCACAGATATAAAAGCTAAATTGGAGGATGTCATACTGGGACAGGGGTCTGCCAGGTCCGACTTCATAATGCGACGTAAAGGTATTTAAATAAAATAACAAATAAGATTATTAAGATTCTTCTAAAATTCAGATTTTAAATTTGTTTAGTGTTTAAACAAATTATTTTATTCAATTACATTTACATAAATCAAAATTTTATACAAAGATCGGACGAATCCAACTATACAGAGCAATCGTGCAGGATCGGGGTTTCCCCTAACTGGCCATAACTCGAAGGAAAAAGCCCGAAGGCCGCGCCTCACAATGTTTTGGTTCTAAGTAGAAGTGGCTTGGCGTTTGTCACTAGTTCAAAGCCTCAACTTAAGAATGATTCTTTTAAACTGTGGCTTACGACCATTCTCAGAGACAACTAATAGATTTTATGACATTTAAAGTCACGTGTTGTCCTACTCTATTGTTATAACAAAGATAGTCATAGAATTAACTTTAATGTAACTTGAAAGTTATTTGACCTTTCTGAGTACTTGTATTAAAGTCAAAACGCGACGCCTCGCGACGCGTGTTGAGTCAAATCAAATGTACTTGTTCTTTGATTAGAATCACATTAAAAAATCGGCCGCAACACGATGCGCACACACTGATCATGGAAAATACGCGTCGGGTAGCATCGCGTTATAAAAAAGGTTGTTTCACTATTTGTTTGAATGGTTTTTTGTTTGATAACACTATGAAAAATTTATTTATCTATTAAACCGTCTGCATATAGTGCTAAACCAAATAGAAAAATATAGTGTTTGAGAGTACTCTCTTTATAATATACTAGCGGCCGCCCGCGACTTCGTACGCGTGGAGTTTGTTAGAAATAAAGGTTCACTGCTCGTTCCCCGTAGGTGATAGCGTGATAATATGTAGCCTATATGTTGACCCGACTTCTTTATAAGTATCGTACCAAATTTGAAGTAAATCCATCCATTTTTGAGTTTATCCCGGACATTAATACAGACAGACAAAATTTTTGAAAACTATATTTTTGGCTTCGGTATCGATTGTAGATCACATCACAAGTATTCTTTTAAAAAAGTATTCAATGACCAGTTTTGACTTTCCTACCATTTTATTATATGTATATGTTACAGTTAAACCCCGCTTTTAGTTAGAACGCGTCTTCCCTAGTTAAAATTAGATTTTACTAAATGCCTTTGTTAAACTAGAAATAACTAGTCAAAACTAGAATTTACCACCGATATATTTGATTTTCAGATAAAACTAGTTGTCACTCCGAGCTTTAGTTAAAACTAGCACTAGAGAAACTAATTTGGGATTCAATAAAAGATAGTTTTTGGTTTTAAAAAAAAAAGATCCAAGACTCATAGTAAGAACTAGTTTTGACTGATATTCCATTTTGAGCATTAGTCAATTCTAGTTTTAACAAAGGCGTTAAGTAAAAACGAGTTCTAACTAGGGAAAACGCGTTCTATCTAAAAACTGGTTTTAACTGTAACATATAGATGTCTGCATTTAAGAACCCTGCTTGTGATAAGATTCTTTTATCAATATCTCAGTCTGTTGCACTTCTTTCTTTAATTGAACGTAGTAAACGTAAATATAGCTTAAATCTTACGCCAACAGCCGCAACTCGATGCCATTTGGTTTTACTTAGTTATAGAAGATTTTATGATGATTTACTTTTTCTATCTGTGCCGAAATCTTAATGGCCAGTTTTAATAACCTCCAGTAAATGTTAAGGATGATTTGGTTCTGTTTCTTAGCAATAGTTGTTATTTTAATGGAAATAATGAAAATATCTAGGCAACAAAACTCTAATTGGTTATATCTTACACAGTTGACTGGAGGTTGATTATTAAAACTGCTTGTTATTTTAAGTACAGCATGTGTAATGAAAATAAACCCTTCCTTTTAAATAATGGAAAACCATATTTTTAAATTTTAGAAATACTTGGAGATTTGATATTCTCTAATTTAAAACTAAAAGCCTTTCAAAATAATACCTGTATTTCTTTGCTTTAGCTATTGCCCATCTAATCATAAATAACAATGGTACTGCTATAAAGATTCGATAAATTTGTTGCGTGCTCTTTGGAAGATGCTGCTGAGTTTAAGCTTATCACATGATTACTGGACTTAAAAGTGCATATTTGACTACTGATTCACAATATAATCGCCACATATACTAAATAACATCGATATAGTATCGAATGAAAGTGCTTTCAGTTTTAGATTAGACAATCTCACTCCGCCATATCAATAAGTAGTCCTACTTATTTTAAAATAGAGTGTATTTCCATTCCACCCCATACCCGCTCGTTTAAATGTCGTAGTGGTGGTAGTACATTGTGTGTTGCGCGTCGTTAACCAGGCAATTCGAACGTTGGAGGTGCGAAGCGCGAACGCTGGCGAAAGGAGTGGGTTAGGGGCGGGGCGCGTGACGTCACCGCCTACCCCGCGCCCCCGCGCCCCGCGCACCACGCCGCGCTCGCCGCCGAGGTGTCGCTCACGCTGCTGCACGCGCTCGAGACCATCGTGCAGGTATATACAGCGCGATAGTGGCGCCCTCTCACTACGGAGCTCGTCATGTGACGTCACCGCCTACCCCGCGCCCCCGCGCCCCGCGCACCACGCCGCGCTCGCCGCCGAGGTGTCGCTCACGCTGCTGCACGCCGTCGAGACCATCGTGCAGGTATATACAGCGCGATAGTGGCGCCCTCTCACTGCGGAGCTGGTCATGTGACGTCACCGCCTACCCCGCGCTCCCGCGCCCCGCGCACCACGCCGCGCTCGCCGCCGAGGTGTCGCTCACGCTGCTGCACGCCGTCGAGACCATCGTGCAGGTATATACAGCGCGATGGTGGCGCCCTCTCACTACGGAGCTCGTCATGTGACGTCACCGCCTACCCCGCGCTCCCGCGCACCACGCCGCGCTCGCCGCCGAGGTGTCGCTCACGCTGCTGCACGCCGTCGAGACCATCGTGCAGGTATATACAGCGCGATAGTGGCGCCCTCTCACTGCGGAGCTGGTCATGTGACGTCACCGCCTACCCCGCGCTCCCGCGCCCCGCGCACCACGCCGCGCTCGCCGCCGAGGTGTCGCTCACGCTGCTGCACGCCGTCGAGACCATCGTGCAGGTATATACAGCGCGATAGTGGCGCCCTCTCACTGCGGAGCTGGTCATGTGACGTCACCGCCTACCCCGCGCTCCCGCGCCCCGCGCACCACGCCGCGCTCGCCGCCGAGGTGTCGCTCACGCTGCTGCACGCCGTCGAGACCATCGTGCAGGTATATACAGCGCGATAGTGGCGCCCTCTCACTGCGGAGCTGGTCATGTGACGTCACCGCCTACCCCGCGCCCCCGCGCCCCGCGCACCACGCCGCGCTCGCCGCCGAGGTGTCGCTCACGCTGCTGCACGCCGTCGAGACCATCGTGCAGGTATATACAGCGCGATGGTGGCGCCCTCTCACTACGGAGCTCGTCATGTGACGTCACCGCCTACCCCGCGCTCCCGCGCACCACGCCGCGCTCGCCGCCGAGGTGTCGCTCACGCTGCTGCACGCCGTCGAGACCATCGTGCAGGTATATACAGCGCGATGGTGGCGCCCTCTCACTACGGAGCTCGTCATGTGACGTCACCGCCTACCCCGCGCTCCCGCGCACCACGCCGCGCTCGCCGCCGAGGTGTCGCTCACGCTGCTGCACGCCGTCGAGACCATCGTGCAGGTATATACAGCGCGATAGTGGCGCCCTCTCACTGCGGAGCTGGTCATGTGACGTCACCGCCTACCCCGCGCTCCCGCGCCCCGCGCACCACGCCGCGCTCGCCGCCGAGGTGTCGCTCACGCTGCTGCACGCGCTCGAGACCATCGTGCAGGTATATACAGTGCCATGTGCCATAGTGGCGCCCTCTCACTACGGAGCTCGTCCGGGTCTGGGACGCGGGCCCAGTGGGGGTTCGAATCCCGGCGGGGGCAGATGTTTGTGTTTAGGATACGAGCATTTGTACTCCGGTCATATATGTTTTATATGTATTACTATATAAATATACTTATATATGTACAATATATTTATTCTATCCGTTACCCTAGTATCCCATAACACAAGCCTTACAGTGCTTACTTCTGAGCTAGGCTAATTCGCGTGAGTGTTGGAAATATATATATAATGGGTATTTATATGCTTGTTCAGTGCTCGAGCAGCCTAGAACACGGGCAGGGCGTATGCAGTGCCGCGCTGCAGGTGGTGCTGCGCGCGCTGCAGCGCAACCAGAGCACTGCCGTGCTGCAGCACATGTTCGCCACTGTACGTGCCTTCATCGCCAGGGTAAGTCAGTACTGGACACGGGACATAAGGTCTAATGATCACGGGACAGCACTTAATACATCTAAAGAAAATATACCTAGAAAAAAATCCACGCGGACCAGGCAGCAGACGGGACTCGCACCCGCACCCTTCGCAAACCGGGCGAATGCACTAACTAATTATGCTACCGCGGCCCTCACGGACCGCGTCGAAATTCCTCTAGCCATTCTTAAGCTGCAAGGCAGCGCCGTCTCTTCTCATTATAGGTAACCCACAATGTCAAATGAATACTTTTACAAGTATTAAACATTTGAAAGAAGAAACAGCAATTATAGTTATAAAAGAAGTTATCTTTACATTTAAACACCACGCGGAAGAATAGGCTAGTTGACTCATGTCAAATTGCACTATACAAATGTTTATTTCTTATAATTTTTGGTATGCGGAACCTAAATACATCAATTTCACTTCATAAAATTAAAAGATGGCTGTAGTAATTTAATTTGAAAAGTAGTTTTTTAGTCTATGTTTTTTAAACACTAAAAACGCTGTCCACCATGATTGTGACGTCAACATAATAGCAAAACAACTAAACGTCATTGTCGTGTTACTGTGGTTTCTTTCGTCCGACTAAAATATATCTAAAAACTATTATATATTGAAGAAAAGTTTCCGTTTATTGGTTTTCTTCACTAAATTAATGCTGGACGACGGATTTGTGAAAGCAGAAACGAAGAAACTCTTTGTCTTAGCAGGTGCATTCATAACCTTAAAAATTTAAACCACAACATTTCTGGAGTTTTTAGTGATGTGTTTCTTTATTCTAGTATAATACAATCATGATAATTACTATATTAAACTACTTGACCGTCACTGAAAGCTTTATATTGAGATAGCACTTCCGTTTCCCGTCGAATTACCATCAGTTTCCGTACTTTTAATCACCTTATATCCGGTCCAGTGGCGACACCTGGCAGAAGCGCGGCCATTTTTGTTTTCCTAAGTTTTGACAGCGCCATATTAACTCATTGGCGTTCTGACTCCCGTCGAAGCAACACGCGCTCAATCTGAGCGATCGTTGTGAGATTTTAAAGGTTTTATTATTATTAAGTGATAAAACTGTAAGTAAAACTATTTTATTTAACGGCTTTTGCCATTCGTGTTATTCCAAATAGGTACTTTACGTATTAAAAGTGAAGGAACCGTAAGTAAAATTATTATTCTTTTTGATAGTTTTTGCAGCCCTTGTGATAAGGGATATTTCAAACAAATATGTTAAATTGTGCAACACCTTTGTTTTAAAAATAATAATAAATAAGCCGTGAGTAAAACTGGACGGTGTTTCAAGGTGCGGTTTTGTTTAAAAAATTAAAGTACCTACATTAAAGTAAATTTTGCAATACTTTACGACCGTCTTGGTCGTTTGTAATTAAAACTATTTTAAGAGTGTTTTCTCTTGGTACTCAATTAATGTTTCCGTATAAGCAAGTGTAAAAGTAAATTGGTAAATGTTTTACAAAATACTTAATTAAATTATTTTACAGTTTAGAGTGAAGGACATCGGTCAATATTGACATTTCAGCCGCCGACTGACTAGCATTAATGGCAAAAGCAGCAATATGTGTGGATCTAGTCATAATTGTTCTTCGAGCAGCTGCAGTAATAATTGTTTGAATTTGTCGTCTTCTGGTATAACGAAAGCGGCATCGCTGCCTTAAGAAAAGTAGCCCTTTTATTAAAAGATTGTTCGAGGGGTAAGTGAACTATGTACAATCTTAATAAGGTATTTGTAATGTCGATGTGCCGTTTTCTGAACATGGCCAGCTATCAATATCAAAAGACTTATGAATAAAAAGTTCTAAATTTTACTGACCAATACACGTTATAAATATACTCATGTGAGTCGTGTGACTAAACTAGGATAAAGGAAGGCTCTGTTCGAAAGACATTCAACGTTTATTTTAAATGATGTGCTGATGTAAATTGAAAATTATAATCATAGTCCAGGCTTTATCAAACTGGAAACAAACAATGAGGTAAAGAAGTTTGATGATAATTTATGATATATCACGTTCCTGACAATAATTTTCTTTCAGCAAACGCATATTTTAAAATAAAAATTAATCATTGCGGGAAGGCACCTGCTCAGTTAATTTTATTAACGAAAGTGATAAGATAACAGAATCGTTTCTGAGGTATTTTACAGCTAGTGAGGGCACAAAGCTAAAAAGAAAAAATTAAAGCACTGCTTAAGAAGTTAGTGATCTCTGTGATGAAGCACCACCATCCAATCACCACATAATGATTCAGAGCTTTTGAGGTTGTTTTTCTCGTATAAAGTTATACTTATAATTATATTTTGTCATGGATTTAAGTGATTGACATTTCATCAACCTAATGAGCAACTCACGCAGAAGCAAGTGATAGCTTAGCTCATAATAAGCTTCATCTCATGAAGCCCAAGTCGTGTCAGGACATGCCCTCCCATGGCGTACCTACACACGTACCGGTGGCAAATCACCCTCGCGGGGTGCATATTATATATATAATTTGTTTCCACTACGTGATATCTTATGAAATGCCTCTAATGTCTTGCCTACATATACGAGTACCGGTAACAAATCACCCTCGCGGGGTGCATATTATATACAATTTGTTTCCACTAGGTGGAACCTTATGAAATGCCTCTAATGCCTTGCCTACATATACGAGTACCGGTAGCAAACCACCCTCCCGGGGTACCTATTACCAAAACTCTAATGACCGCCCCTCGCGGGGGTATATTATGTATAATTTGCTTCCACCGCATGGAACTCTTTATGAATAAGGACATGCTTTCCATGGCTGGCCTACACATACAAGTATCGGTAACAAATCGTTGATGGAAGAATATCCTCATCAATCTTATAATCGCCCTTGTGGGGTCATATCACACATAATATATTATTTCCATTACGTGAAGCTCAATATATATTCTCCTTAGGACATGTTCGCTTATGGAGTTCGTACTATTATGTAAGCACCGGTAACATACGACACTCGAGTGGAGCAAATTATGCATAATTTAACATATTGTCTATTCGTTATTCATAATTTATTTTTATGACCATGGGGTCTGTAAAAGTACAAACGATTCGAAACATTAAAAATAAGTAATTTGAAAATATAATAAATGTCGCTTGACATAATTCATTACTTCCATCGTGTGGAAATCTATACATCAACGCAACGCAACATAGCCGCTCATGGCTTGCGTACACACATAAGTATCGGTTATAAACTACCCTCTTAATAGACTAGAAAGATCGAAGATCGAATGTTGATGTACCCCGTTGTGAAGTGCAATGTACACTGGTTTTTAAGGTGTCGCATACTCAGAGGTCCGGTGGGGCAAATCATTGTATGATAAAAACGAGCATCGGTGTTGTTAACACATATTTATTCAAAATCATACTAATCTATGCATCATCATTATGCATTTCTATGCGTTAGCCCATAAAACAAGCCTTTCAATGCCTATTAAGAGGCTAGGCTAATTGTTGTGAAGTGTAGTCTCGATCACTACGGTTGTTCTACCGTAATATAGTTATCAAGGACGTGCTGTAATAATTTCAAAAGGAAAAGGAATGTCGAAACAATTAATGTTTGAAATATAGTGCAAGAGAATTGGTAAATTGGGAGCACCACAAATAATTCTTAAATAAATTTGGTGGTATAGCATGCCATTCAAAAGCTTGTTTATCTAAATCCAATATATATCAAACTCCAATCTCAAGTGCAGTACACTATAAAAATGTAAAGAATTCTAACTTTTCTGCAATTTAAGGACTATCTGCCAGATAGATAGATGATAACATATTTTCCCTTAAAAATAACAAAAGCAAACCAAATGCAAAAGCAAACATGCAATATTGGAAATGTCGTGTATGAGGTGTCTGAGATGGTCAACATGATCATTTTGATATATAAGTGGTGCTATGTACTGAAGAAAGATTGCACGATCTACCAAATTCTTGAAAGGTTTTGAAGATCATTGTATGCAATTATCCACTTTATGTTATTTTTAGTAAAACAAAAAATACTGAAAAAATACTGACAACTGTTCTTAATATTAAACTTACGCTTTCTAACCTTGCCACGACTGTCTGGAATAAATATACTTTAAACCCTACGCATAGTACATGCACACCTCAAGTAAGCTGTGTAAATCTTATAAATAACTTAATCTTTATTAAGTATTAACTAATACATATAAATGACCTTGATCTAAGAAATGAAAAAACAAAAGGAAAAATTATAATCAATTATAGATTCTAGGATGGCAAATGAATTTCATAAAATCTGGCCTAAACTTCGTAATAGCATAATTTATCACGGCAACCCTGCAACAATATAAAAACCATACCTGAGAATTTCGTTGTAAAAGAGTAAACTTCAGAAGTTGATCGGTTTCAACATTTTTGTCATTGTGTGGGGTTGTATCAACCACTCCCTACTTCTAACAATAATTATGTATTCACTGCAATCGACCTTGCAATCACTTCCCGCCAATCTAATATGAAAGCTTGGGAAGTATAATTGAAGAACACGGCTCTACCACTTCACTTCAATCTCCACTCCAATCATATAGATATGCTAGCACTACGCTTTTCATCATATTCTACAAAGAACGACAGCTCTGTCTGTCTGTATCAGATGGCTCGAAAACGCTGGCTTGCGTGGTTGCATTGGTCTAGGAACAAGAATGTTTATCGGAATAATCCCGCAGGTTGTGGACTCGGATCTGAGCTAACACGATTTTTGAGACTTATTTTTAACACGTGACTTATCTCAAAATAAGTACTATTATTTTAAATAAGTCAGTAGTTTTTACATGATATACCAATGGATGATAAGTCTAATTACCTAAGCTTACCTGTCTTGGCAAACACATATATTGAAGTCGATTGTTTTTAAAGAATCTGTAAGTTAACTTATTTCCTTTTCTTCAATAATGTACTCGTTACATCATAATGATCCGTTTCAAATACCTCGTCATACTAGTTGTTGTTCTGAACATCATACAGTAATTATGCTGCGTATTATTTAGTTCAGCATGTGGTACACATGACTTGTTCCTCGTTCAAATTAACCCGAATCATTGTATTGGTACCGACGAAGATTAGTTTTAGCCTTGTTTTGGTTCAAAACAGGTGAAAGTAGTTAGAGACAATCCGATTGGTGACATGTACCGAATACTGGTAATCGTAAATGGGACCCTGAATTTTGGTACTTAAGAAAAAAGTGCAGTCTTGTAAAATGTAAGGCTCAGTATCGAACAACTTTACTTCTTTTTCTCGCATTCCTACGCCTTTTTGTGATAAACAAAGATACAAATAAATGCTACACAAGGAAGCGTCCGGTCATTAAGAAAGCAAATATATATATAATTAAGTAAGCAAGTTTAAGTAAAGAAATATAGCAATCAGCTAATACATATGTTAAAGCAGCTTCGTAAGCGTGAAGAAATTAAAGGCGGGATTCAAATAATGTTATTTGATCCATTTCTAAGCTTTTTCGTTTCTATAAACAGTTTCATATAATCTGATAAATGTTAATATTTAAATTTATCATAAATTGTCACATTGGCGTATATATCTATGTACGTGGCGATCACCAGGCGATAACAAACAGGTCTCAATATAAAGCTTTCAGTGACGGTCAAGTAGTTTAATAGCAGCATTTTACCTGAAATAAAATGCATATTAAAATACTTACCTCACTGAAAGCTTTCACTTTAAATTCTGCCTGGTGAAATAATTGAGCCAATGAGTTAATATGGCGCTGTCAAAACTTAGGAAAACAAAAATGGCCGCGCTTCTGCCAGGTGTCGCCACTGGACCGGATATAAGGTGATTAAAAGTACGGAAACTGATGGTAATTCGACGGGAAACGGAAGTGCTATCTCAATATAAAGCTTTCAGTGAGGTAAGTATTTTAATATGCATTTTATTTCAGGTAAAATGCTGCTATTTATCATGAAATCTATTAGAAATCATGGTTTTGTAATGTAATTCAGATAGGTTATATCCTACGTGCTTGCGAGTGTTTGTTTACTATTGTTCGCGTCATACCATAGATAATCTATAGACTAAAATGGCCGACAGCGTTTTTGTATGTCCATGAAAAATCTATTTTAAAATTAAAATTTTGTAGCTTTCTAGGTGAAAACAAAATTACAATACATTTTTATTCGGTCTAATTGAACAATTATTAACTATTTAAAACATATTTCCAAAAAGTGTCAACTAGCCTATCCCTAAACGGTGATCCCGCGGCTTCGCACTAAGCAGCTTAGAGGGTATTCGCAATGATATTAAATACCCTAGATACACCACGTGCGCTCATAATGTGTCCCAATCAAGAACACGACTCAAGCACTTCTTGGTTCACAGTCACGCGCGGACCGTTGGAAAGTCAACATGAACTCCGTGAAAAAATGCGAAAAAAAAATACTTAATAATAATATGTAAAATGTCGTTTTTTCGACAGGTATCTAATCTTAATGTTTGTTAATTTAACGCATTTAAAGTAAATTTTAAATTTCTTTAATTTTTAAAAACGCATTTAAAGTAAAGTAAATTTTAAAATTCTAAACTACTAACGAACACAACTATTTGTTGTCCCACATTGTAAGATTACAACGTCGTGTATGGTGTAATAACAATTAAACTGGATTAAATACCAATTTTAGCTAATGTTAGTACCATAAGTAAGTTTTTTGTGGTTAATTAGGGGCTGTCTTTAATTATGTGACTACCACTGTATGTGTACAGAATGTGTATTCTATCCGTTACCCTAGCATCACATAACACAAGTCTTACAGTGCTTACTTTGGGACTAGGCTAATTGGTGTGAGCGTTGGAAATGTTTATATTTATTTATTTTATATTATTATACAGTTGGGTTGGTCGTGCTGCGGCGAAGAGTGGGGCATCTGCCGCGTGCTGCTGCGGCACTGTGCCGCCAGCACCCCCTCCACGCGGGCCCACGCCTCCGCCACGCTCTACGCGCTCATGCGGCAGCACTACCAGCTAGGGAACGTGAGTACTGCGACCCTGCCTTACTTGTAATTGGGAACTGACAGAAACAAGGAATGACAGTTGAAAATAGTACTATCGCGGAATTTTGCGCTCTGTCACTTGGCGAACAAAATGCTTTGAACGGTTTTCTACAGTAGTTTTTACTACGCCCCGCCTTCGCGTCGGACGGCCAATCCGGGCCGCCGCACAAAAGTAGGACAGAGCATTTCATTGATTGAATAATGAATTGAATTGCATTTGTTTTAGTTGCAATTTGTCATCCGCATCGTGATCGCGACAGCGCTATACGGAAAAGTAAGACAGCGATAATTACATGTCTAATGTCTATGAATGAGTAGTAGGTAGTTTCTATTAATTCTGGCGGTGTCAATAAATATTCATTATCAGTAATATACACAGTCTCGAGTAGATAGGACGACAATTTAAAAGCTCAGTTAAAATAAAATAATCAAGCTCAGTTAAATCAATATCTGTTTTCAAAAAAACTAATAGCATAATGTTAAGAAAAAAAAGCAGTCTGCAAAATGATACTGACCACTCGCTTTTTCGGAACATAAATAAAAAAAAAACGATTGCACTCAGGGAGTGCCGGCAGAAGTGAAAACTTGAATATTAAAGTTGTATATTTTTCAGTCGCGCGCAGAGCGGTGTTGTGAGCGCACGCGTACTACTCTCGTCGGTAGATTTTTCAAAGATACCCGCTTTTCGTAAATGTAAAAATGGATGAAGTTACTATTGACGAAACGGACAATAATTTAACCGCGAGTGATAAGAGTGGTACGGAAGTAATAAGAGGGTGCGAAAAAGAGCTCGGGAGGATGTTAGAATGGGATAATTTAGGTACCGAGTCTTACGAAGTAAGCCGCGGTAAGAGACCACGCGAGGATAGCGAAGAGAGTAAAGAAGATGAGTTTACTACAGTCAACAGGCGAAAGTCAAAGCGACTGATCAGAAGTAATTCTACGAACAATCAGAATTTTACCCTAATGGAAATAGAGACAAGAGACAGCGAGGAATATATTGAAGTTGGTGTTATGTCGCTTCAACCATTATTGAAACAAATGGCACTAGCAAAGCTGTTGAAGTCAGAAAAAATTGAAAAAATTTTGAATATTAAATATAAAAGTCCATACAAAGTGAATATAGGTTTAGAAAACAAAATTGAAGCCGAAAAATTGATTAATTGTTCAAAATTTAAAGAATTAGGTTACAAGTGTCAGTTGACATTAGAGTCTCGTTTATCGTACGGAGTTATAAAAGGTATAGATATTGAAATGGATAATAAGGAGATATTGGACAGTTTGCAGTGTACTGAAGAGATTACATCTGTAAACAGATTGAAGAGATTGAACAATGAAGGAAAATGGGTTGACTGTGAAACAGTACGTATAGTGTTTAACTGTCCGGTACTACCACAGTATGTGTATGGTTATGGTTGCAGGATAAAAGTGGAACCATATGTGTTTCCAGTTACACAGTGCTCAGGGTGTTGGCGATTTGGACACATTATAAAATTTTGTCCCACAAAAAAAGTTGTTTGCCCCAAGTGTGGACAGAATCACGAAAATTGCGATAAGAAAGACGTTCAATGTCTTAACTGTAAAGTGTCTCACATTGTGTTGGACAGGTCGTGCCCCATATTCCTCAAAGAAAAGTATATCCGCAAATTAATGTGCGAGCACAATGCCACTTACAAACGAGCCATGCAAATATATCTAATAGAACAACAAACTAAATTAAAGAATAAAAATGACCAAAAAAAAACAGAAAAGCAGGATATATCAAACTGGCAACAGGACATATCGTCGAAACCTCAACATCTTCAACGGTCATACAGTGAGGTGGTTACAACGAAGACGCACACTAAGATGCCGTCAGACTTTTCTGAAGATGAAAGCTCACGTTCAAGTGAAAATATTAATGTTAAGAAGTCAAAGATAAACAAAAAGAAGAAAGCGACGATGGAGCGTGTAAATTGTGAATCCACTAGTATAAATATAAAACAAAAATCAGAAAAACGTAGTGATGAAAAAAGAAGTGAAAAGTTTGACTTTAAAGTGTTTTGTGGTAGAATAAGTGAAATTATTATGTCTGAGAATGAGTTTAATAAAAAATGTGTGCTAATCATGAAGGAAATTTACGAAGGTGTGAAGTTATTTTTCTTAAATATTGTAAGTAAAAGTAGTTTAATAGACTTTTTTATTGGTTTATATAATGGATAGTTACAACCGAAATGTTAATTTAGATGTAAATATATTGCAATGGAATGCGCAAAGTTTAACTCCAAAAACAAGTAGTTTTGGCACACTTATGATACAGGAGAAAATACATGTCGCGGTGGTTAGCGAAACATGGTTGGATCCTGAAACTACATTAAGATTGAGCGGTTTTAATATATTCAGAAAAGATAGATTAGATACTTATGGGGGAGTCGCTATAATTACTCACAAGTCGATTCAATGTCGAATTTGTCCGATCGTTCTTACTAATAGTGGGATTGAGGTAGTCGGTGTCCAAATACTCAATTGCACAGATTTAAAGTACATTTTTTCGATTTACTGCCCCTCATCAATTAGAACGACAGCGTCTGATTGGAATGAAGTATTTTCACTAGTTAGTAGTAAGACTATAGTTGCTGGAGACTTCAACGGCCATCACTCAAATTGGTCATACAAAACGGACATAAGAGGGAGTCAAATTTTTGATGCTGCTCTTGATAATGGCTTCATATCTCTTAATGATGGCCGACCTACAAGAGTAAAAATGGTAGATGGAGTTTTGAGGGAATCATCGCCGGATATTACGTTTGTGTCATCAGACATCGCTACTAATTTTAACTGGTATACAACTAACGAATGTTTAGGTAGTGACCACCTTATTATCCTATATTCTATAAAATATACACAGTCATATAAAAATATAAAAAAAAGAAATTTTAAACTAGCAGATTGGCAAAATTATAAAAGGTTAACTAAGTCTGCTTTTAATTCATGCAATTTAGATAGAAATGTACAAGAAATGTATAACTACTTTTATGAACAAATCATCACCTCATCAGATAAAAGTATTCCATTTAAAATATACAATTTAAACCCAGCTACAAAATTCAAACCGAAAGAATATTGGAACCCGACTTTATCTCATATTGTTGCTCAACGCAGGCTTGCACTTAAAACATTTAGGAAAAATCCCACGCCTGAGAACTTAAAAAGATTTCAAAATAAAGTATCCGAGGCTCAAAGGCTTATTAAAAAAGCTAAGGCTGTCTCATGGCAAAAATTCTGTACAAGTTTCGAAAAGACTACAACGGTGTCGGATATGTGGCGCCGCACTATGTGGAGATCGAGTCGGTTTCGGGTCATAAATCTATAACTTCCATGTTTTTATAGATATACAGCTTATTTTTTTTTTAGGTAATCTGAGATAAACGTACTTTAAAATAATATACAGTCTATGCATATAAAAATATATTTAATAATTGTAAAAAAATACAAAACATGAAATATTGAAAAATTATCATAAATTTACGACTAATTTTAAACAATGTGACCTAAATGTTATAATTAATACAAAATAAACACATAAAATTACTCTTATTAATTAAATATAATAAGAAAAAGAAAATAACATAGAATTATATTATTCTACTAGCTCTACAGCTTCATCTATAAGTTCCATAGACTTTTTATTGGAAGGTTTTCTTAAACTTGTTATGTAAGGGTCTGAAGTGTACAAAAGTGTATGTAAAACGTCTTCATTTGTAGCTACTCTAGAGCATTTTCTAGCATGATGAAGTCTGAATCGTTTATAGTCTTTGTTCCTTGATTCCTGGGCATCTTCGGAGAGCTGTCCAAGAGGTAACACTGAATAATGCCGAATTACACTTTCCCCATGAATTAGGACTTTATGGACAGATGATGGCATATAATACCACATATATTTACTAACATATCGTTGTGCTGTATCGAAAGCATACTGTCCAAATTTCGTAGCATTAATTACTTTTCCGCTAGACATAACTTGAAGTAAAACATAAAATCGTTTTATCAATTCCTCATCCACACCGGTAATTTCTGCAGTGCACTGATAATTTTGAATAAATCGTCTAGCTGTATTACCGTCATTACTGTTACCAGAACCTTGCTTAGGTTTATCTATATTTAAACCAAGTTCTTCTCTGAACCTTCTTTGTACATATGTCTTCTTTTGTTTTTTCAAATCTTTATTTTCTGTCGTTGTAGCAGACCATTTTTCAAAGCCTACATTATAAGATATATGAAAAACTAGCTGACTCGGCGAACTTCGTACCGCCCAAAAGATTACTTTTGCGACTTTGCGACTTTTAATTAAAATTGCGACTATAATTTGAGATTTAAACTATCCTATCTCTCAAGTTGGATCGAACTGCACATGGTGTGCGAATTTTATTATAATCGGTTCAGTGGTTTAGGAGTCCATTGAGGACAAACATTGTGACACGAGATATATATATATTAAGATTAGTTCCATGAATCTAATCCAGCAACGTAAAGTCGAAAGCCCATATTGATAAGAATTTTCGTCAACAGGTTTATTTTGTACTTTTTCTAAATTGTTCATCTCTGTAGGTCTTGCACCACAAATAGTACATACAGCACCTGATGAAGTTTCTGACAAAACTTGAGCCACTTTCCCGTCAACCATTGTCAAAAATAATGTGTGTTTGATTTTAATACTTTCACCATTTTTATTGATTAAGCTTGTTGTGAGAGCGTTTCTTTGAGCTATAATTTCATTAACTACACTTGTAGTTTTCTCTGGTATCTCTTTTGAAAATTCTATTAAAATGGGCCTACAAAATCTTACTGATGATGGAACAGGGTTTTCCCACAAAGTTTCATTTGTATTAATATCAACAAGTTTCAGAGGTACTAATGAAGATATAAATAAATTTGTGTCAGAAATTAACTCATCCTCTTCAGTTAAGACTTGCTTGTATTCACTTTGTCCGCTTGAGCCAT